TAAATAATTTTATTTCATCATTAAATATTATTATTATTATTATTTGAAGAAAAAAATATATAAGATAATAAGATAACTTCTTCGATAATGAAGAAGTTAAGAAAGTATTAGAAATGTTAAAATGATCATTTTAAGAAATTATGTTGATCTTGTATATAATAGATATGTTTAAATTTATTTGTTTTGTAAATAATATATATGTATTTTGAAATGGAACAATAAAGTCCCTCTGAAGAGGTAAAGAGAGAAAAAACAGTTGTAATGAAAGTCAAATCTTAAAATAGAGGATTTGGAAAAGAGCAACCTTACGACAGAAACAATATCAACACATTCTGGCTTTGCAATAAGCATATAGTCTTGTAGGACTATACAAAGTTTGTTTGCGTAGTCCCATATACATCGTTCTATGTACGGTGCTTGTTAGTTTATAACCAAGGCTTGGCTAAATTTCTTATATGAATTTTGATGATTTCAGAACGTTGTAGTACCATAGACGTAATAGTAGTACACACCATATACATTTTGCACACCCTTAGTTTTAGAACAATTTACGGCCCCTCAATTAAATATAAATGTTTGCACCCTAAGTTTCTGATCAATTTTGCGCTCCCTCAATAAAAGATCAAATTTGCGCCCCTAAGTTTCAGATCAATTTTGCGCCCCCTGAATAAAATATATATTTCCGCCACCTAAGTTTTAGATCAATTTTGCAACCCCTCAATTAATCAGCACTGTCATTTTGCTGTTCATATTTTCCAGTTTAATATTTGTTGTTATATACTTTCGATTATTTCGCTCTAAATCTATCACCATCACTTTAATACGGCAAATAAAATGTGAACGCAACGTAGCCATAGGATCAAAGGCACGTTTGAAAAAGAAAGGAAGAATGAGAGAGAGAGAGAGAGAGAGAGAGAGAGAAAGAGAGCGGGAGGGGGTTAATAACCAAAGGGGAACCTTTGACCAATGTGTTGTTCGTGAAATCCATGCAATATTGTTTAATGCGCCCATAGGCCTGCAGGGATGGCGCATAGAGTCCCTTTTATATACAAAGAGTTGCGACACGAAGCGTTTGTTTTGTTGCGTTTTGTTAGAAACAGAAATGGCGTTTGAATTATTATTAGGACATGCATGGAGTCACCAGTTGATTGAATGAAACAAGCCCTGATGCGTGCGGCATGGAAACTTAAGGCATGATATTAATGCCCCCGACGTGCCGGGTAGCATGCTAAGACATTTTAGACGTCATGCTTACTCACTATATTTACAGAACATTCATGAAACATTGAACATCAGACAAATATAACAAATTAAACAAGAATCACCCCGCCCCGCCCGCGTCTTATTTTTTCGTACCACGGCGAGCCCGGATTCCTGTTTTATCATGAATATTCATTACGCAGGATCGGGGAAAGTCTCGATTCTCTTGAATATTCATATAACCGAGGTGGGAACTGTGAGTTCATGCAGGACGCGCGCTATACTCGCACAAAGTGAGAAGATTTAGTTCACGGAGAATGCATGGTGAGTAATTGATTGAAATATCAGTAGATTAAGAGAATTTAGTCATTAATTTGAAAAAGCTGTAATTCGTGATCTACTGTAATTTCTTTACATTTTGAGACTGTTCTCAACAGATTTTTGGGGAAAAGGCTAGGAAAATATTTCTCTTGAAATTGCACTTTGATTTTCATCGTCGTGAAGTACTTTGACTGCGGTTTGCCTTCATGTCACCCTTTGAGCCCCGGGGTTCCGGCAGGCCCACCCCGGGGAATTTCGGTGCTCATCTGCATCAAGATAAACCTTTCTAATCAGGTTTTATTCCAAATTTGATCGTCATCGTGAATCTAATTCACAAATCATTACCTTTACTTTACCTTTACCGCAAATACTGGAAGAATGCTGAGACAGCAGTCGAGCTTCCAGGTTTATCTTCTTGGTCTATCTTCTTGCACTCATACTCTTTAAGTTTAATAATAATTCTCATTATATGCAAGGGAGGCAGAGGGGCAAGAGGTTGCATCTTGACTGGACAATGTACCATGTACAATGTCCCAGGAGCAAAGAAATTGAAAAAAAAAAAAAAAAATCAGTTCGAGTATTGAGAGATATGACACTGTTCCTTCCAGCAATATCCATTGAATTTAAATCTAGATTTAACGTTACACCTTAAAATAATCTATGAAGTATGATTTCTTTAGACTTAGTATTCCAAGAGGGTTAATTCTTGTTTATATCTTTACTTTAGATGTGGACTCTGTTGGCTATACTAAGTGCCATCCGTTCGCTCAGTTGCATCATTAGTGCGTGTCAACTTTTAGACCAAAATTTTTGTGACCATGGATAATCAAGCAGCTCCAAACCATATTTCATTTAGACGTAACACCTGGAATTTATCAATAAAAATATTCAAAAACAAACAAACTAGATCTAGGATTCATCTATTTAATGTTTAGATGTTGTGTGTGTCCAGTGTGCTTGTCAAGTTGTCATAACTTTTCTAGATCAAGATCTAGACTCTAGAGCTATTAAAGATTTTTTCCTTCTCCAAAGTGTACATTTCATATGATAAATATATTTTTTTTGGACGTTGTATAAGAGAAGACCCCTAGGGTAGTCGACAATTATATTTACTTTTACGCAGAGGCGGCGGAGCAACTTCCAAAGTGGGGGGGGGCACCAACAAAAAGGGCACTTTCTTGAAAAAAGGGCACCTTCAGAGGGAAATATACAATTTTTTTGACGTTGGTTTATACCCCTATTTTGTGATTACATAAGGGATGATTTCAATATTTGTTTCTCTTCATACAGCATATAAGATTATTCTTAAGTATCATACTTTGCAGTTGGGTGTGATGGTCTAAAAATGCATTTGCGAGCGAGGAAAAATGTTAAGATTTGTGAGGTCGCAGTGTGAAAAATTACATCTTGTAAAGAGGAAAACCCAATCCTGATGGGGTTATAAGCACAATCTCATAATGGAAGACTGAATAGATCTTTGATAAGTTACATTATTATAACATCTATAACTATGGGCAAGCGAAGCGAGTGAGCTTTGTGGGAAATTGCTTTTAGTTGCTTGAAATTAGGGACACGTTTAATGATGAGAGGAAAAGGGGACACTTATCGAAAGGGTTAAGACACTTATCAGAAAAGAAAAGGAGCACGTGTCAAAGTACAAAGGCTAATTATCAGAGGTGAAAATGGGGCACTTCTTACACCTAAACAAAGAGGCATGCACCAGGGATGATAAGGACATGGGCATTTGTCGACGGAAAAGAGGCACCCATCAGATTGTGATAGGGGGCATTTATAAGCAGTAAAAAGGGGCATTTATGAAAAAGGGATAGGTTCTTTATTAGAAAGAAAATTGGGTACATATCATTGTTAAAAGGGTAATGAGAAGGGGAAGTGGCTCTTATTAAAAAGAAAAAGTGGCACATGTTAAAATAAACGGGGCACTTGTCAAGACGAAAAGTGGTAATTATGATAAGGGGTAAGGGTGCTTATAAGGAAAAAAAGGCATTATATAGGAAGGAAAAGGAGGACGTGTCAAAATAAAAGGGGCATTTATAAGAGATGAAAAGAGCACTGACTAGGAGGGGAAGGGGTGCTTGTCAAAGTAAAACAAGTATCTCTCAGAAGTGAATAGGGTCATTTACAAGAGATGAAAAGGGGCACTTAAGAGAATGAAAAGGAACTATTTTCATAGATGAAAAGGGGCATTTATGAGAAGGGAAAGGGCCTATTTTGAAATGGGGGCACTTATAAGAAAAAGGGGCACTTATTGAAAATGAAAGGGGGCACATGTGAAGATATAAGGTGCGCTTATTCAAGTTAAAAGGGGTAGTTATTAAAGGGGAAGGGGCACTCTAAAAACTTAAAAGGGGCACTTGTCAGAGTATAAGTGTCACTTGTCAAAGTAAAGGGGGCGCTTTCCTATGTAAAAAAGGGGCATTTTTAGGGTACTTGAAAAAATGGGAGGGCACTGTGCCCACTTGCCCCCCCCCCCCCCCCCCCCCCCTCGCCTCGGAGCGCTGCCTCTGCTAATATGGTATGTAGTCCACCTCTTCTTGTTATAATAAACTAATTCTACTTGGTACTTCTTCGTGTTCATAGGCCATAGAAATCACTGTTTGATGCACAAGTTAAATCTTCCATTTAGTTTTACTTTGTATGTTGATTTCCACACCATATTAAAATTAGGGCCAACCATGACATGAAAAATAGCTATTAATTTGTATTATGCTAGATCTATTCTATTTCTTTAAGGAGAAAGGGATGCCTTGATTGTCGTATTGATTTTTTTCTTCTTTTTGTTCCAAAAGATTGAAACTGAAGAGCTGGAAGAAGGACATTACAACATCTCTTATATTTGCAAGATGAAGCAGAAAGTCCCATGCAGGTACAGTTATCAGGTTATTTAGCAAACAAATATTAAACGATGGAACTAAGTTGACATTGCAAGCATATATAGTGGAGCAGGCGCGTACGCAGGATTTTTTCAAGGGGGGTGTTTTAACATTTAACCCCGGGGCTCAAAGAGTGACATGACGGCAAACCGCAGTCAAAGTACTTCACAACGACTCAGCCAACTGCTGAATAAGTGGGGGGGGGGGGTAGGAGGATGTAGTGGAGGGTATATTTTATTCTAGTTCTGCACCTAGTATACAAATATTGATGTCTTTTCTTTCTTTGTTTACAAAAGAAAATTTGTCCTTATTTACAGGAGGTCCTGTGTTTAGAAGAGCCATATCAAATGCACATCGTAAGCACTACATGTAGGGTGTACACAGGACCCTTCATTATTTTTTTTTTTGTAAGGGGTCCTTTCACTTCTTGAGCAATGAAGATGAAGAAGAACACAAAATAAGATTGATAAAAGTCTGTTTTCTCTCATGTAGGATGATGCTTCTCTACAGTGGATGATGAAGGCATTCTGGTTTGCACACTCAGGAGAGGAACAAAGAACAAACGGGATCATATCTAGAGATGCGGGCCTACTACACTTCATACGAGCAAGTGTGCTAATATACATGAAGGTACCCCCAATAAATGTTTGTGGAACAAATGTCATGGAGAAAATTATAGATCTGAAATAGATATTTTTCATTGTCAGTTGACTTTTTAAAGAATAATTGGCTGAATATCACAATTGTAATTTAGATTAAAAATTAAATGTCAATATAGATTAAATATAAGTCTACATTAAGTATGTTTCAGTAGCATTATTTCCAGTACATTCTCTGTTCAAAGTTGTTTGGGCATTTTATGTCCCATACTTAACCGAGTATTATTCAATTACCGGTATGAGCACGAGTTGTATTACATTGTATTACTTATTTCATACCTTGTCTGATCCGAGCTCCAGCAGGCCTATCGTCTTAATGGGATCATCAGTAATAATCTAAGATGTGGTCAGTATTTGAAATAGTCTTGTACAAAAAATAGTTTAGGTTTGCCCACTAGAACCCCAAGTGAAATTCAGTCCTTCCTTTTTCTGAGCAGGTATCAGGGTGTATGTTATTAGTCATTGTTGATTTTTTTTTATATCTTATTCATTTGTCCATTCAACAGACTTGGGTTATATTTTTTTCTGAAAACTAGGCTACAACTTTAGTGATGAATGCAGAAGATATCTACACGAGACTACGTCTTAAAGATTCCACCCTCATATAATGAAAGAGGACAATAGAGATGGGTTTAAACTGGAATATTTACATGATATTTATTTGTTATTTGTATTATATGTTTGTAGAATACTACATTCAATAAAGCTAATTAAGTTTATCATCTTGTCGACTTTCAAACAATTAAAGATAACTAATCCTCAACGAATAAACATTAAAATTCTAACAATGTCAACTACCATCTTATAGGATGATACTAAGGACTGGGCAGAAAGATTCTCCTTCATATTTGAGTGATAAAGGTCTATCAGTCTATATTAAAGATTGAATTAATCAATGATATTTTGATTATAATTATACATGTTAAAATTCATTTACCTCTATGGATTTCTGTATGGGAAGTTTTGTAGATTATGAAATTATTGCTACTTCAAGTATTGTATGTAAGAAGGTTTGAAAGACAACACTCTAAATGCATTAAATATGGAAACTGCTAATCCTCATTGCCTTTCGTATCCAAACTGCTAGCTTTAAAAGAATCATGTTTTGATGCTTCCCAACTTAAGAAAACAGGGAGTGAGGGGGGGGGGGCTTGCTATCCTCTTCCAGGTCCTGTTACTACATGGTCTATTTAACAGGTTGCAAAAGTGTACAAATATGATCATATGTTTATATTAGAAGGATTTAGAAAGTGAAATTTTGAATTAAAGCATTACTGTTGGTAGAAGTAATAGCAGTGTCGATTGTTAATGGGAAGGGGGGGGTTCTTGGTGAAATTTACGGTACGCCAACGTCAAATTAATAAAAAAGAGAAAACTATTCTTAAAAATAAAAATTATACAGGGCATGGGCCTCCTAACAAAAACCCTGGTACCACTTTTGTGTTGTTTTTTTTTGGGGGGGGCTGGCAAACCAATTAAAAATTTCCAGTGTTAAATTCAAATTTCTTGAACAAAATTATGTCAATATATTGTAATTAAACAATGTTTCACTTTCCTTTTCAAGTTAGATATTTGAATAAAATGATAAACATACTTTCTGGTTTCTCTGGCCTCTACATTAAAAATGTTCTACTTCTAGCAAAGCTCCTGGAAAGGCTGCAAAAAGGGAGAGTGAAGAGAATGAAATTGAAATGTGGACAGTAATGGAGTGAATATGGAATGGTTGATGGTAGTTGATAACGAGTGAATGCAAATGAGTGGCAACAAGTACGACTGAAAGTGAGACAGAAAGGAATTGCAACAGGCTGCTCAGTCAGAGAACAAACCTTGCAGAAGATAGTTTTCGAAAGACAGAGAAAGAGAGAAAAGGTGAATTATAAAAAAAAGGAAAAGGGGGCATATGTCAAAGGGGCATTTATGAGAAAGGGTTGGGGCTCCTATTAAACAGGGTAAGGGGCACATATCAAAAGGTTAATGGGCACTTGTTAGAAAGATTAAGGGGACGCGTGTCAAAGCAAAAAAATAAAAGGGCTTTTATCAGATATCACAAGGGGCACTTATGAAAATGGAACAGTGGCACTTATTATGAAGTAAAAGGGGCAGTTGTTGAAGAAAAAGGTGCACCTGTCATATTTGAATAGTGGGTAATTATCGCCAGGGCCGTAGCCAGAGTTTGATGTTGTTGTTTTTTTTTTTGGGGGGGGCACATACATGTAATTGATCGACGTCCTGGGAAAGGGGTCAAAAAGAGTTCAACCGATCTTGGATTTAATTTTTTTTTTTTTTTTTTTTTAATGTATGTGAAAGAATTTGTAGTTTTCTCTCGAGTTTGTCTCATCATGCGTGGGATCTGTGGGTGCTGGGGTTCCTGCAGCAACCCTATACATGGATTTTCTTCAGTGGGTGCATATAACTCATGGACATCACATTGTAAACCTTCAAATGATGAATTATCATCGAGTCCCCCCACCCCCCCCCCCTCCCCTTCCCTCATTATTTTGTCAGCTCGTGACAAACATATAATGCAGATGAAATACGCCATAGGATGAAATCATTTCTTCACAGTATATGAGTAAGGATAGAACAATGTAAGAAAGAAACCAAAGAGAACTTTTAAGAGATAAAGAGAAAGGAAAGGGAAAAATGGTAGCTAGGCCTAAACAAAAACAAGAGGCAGATAAAAGAAAAAAGATTGAAGATATGTTATCAATATTATCTTGCTCCTTTCCCTTTTTCTTTTGTCTTCTTTTCATTTCAATTTTCTTGCAATTTATTTCTTTCTTCCTTGGTATCTATTCCGTATTCTTTATTTCTTCCATTTATTTATCATTTATATATATTTTACTTTTTAACTTTGTTATTCTTCTTTCTAATCCCATTTTTTTCTTTCTTCCTTTTCTTCCTTATGTAGTTAAGTGAGCATAAATCATAGAAATAATTTAAGTGCAATACACAAGTATTTTATTTTTGATAAATGTCTGTACGTAGGCCTATTCTTGTTACTTATTTTATACAGTTTAGAATACTGTATCACATATTCAATACCATAATGCAACCTCTGTTTGTAATATTTAAAAAGCAAACCTAGAACTGATTATTTTCTCATTCATAAAAAGAACTAGATTCAACTTGACCTCAGAAAAGTAGGCCTAGGCTACTCACAAATTGCCTATCAAGACTCTTACTTGAAATATATGCTATATATCTTGTCTACTGACATTTTGGCATTTACTTGTAATTAAACACAGCATCGCATTAAACACAGCATCTAAATGACCATGACATTGCTTTTCTATGTCATATTATAGACCTGTGTTACACACGATATTCGATGCTGCGCATTCCTCGATCAGACATGAATATTCAAGAGAATCAAGACTTTCCCGACCCTGCGTAATGAATATTCATGATAAAACAGGAATCCGGGCTCGCCGTGGTACGAAAAAATAAGACGCGCCCCGCCCCTTCACACACATATGCCATTCCGATTTGGTTGATTCTAAAGGCAGCCTTAATACGCACCTGAACAATAGAATCATTGCAAGCCGGACAAAAGCGGTCAAACTAGCGTTGAGTGAGCGCGCGAATAGTAAAAATTTACTAATATATGACAACATATTATGCTTAATTGTTGAGCTCGCCGTTGACTTGTTTGTTATTATTATTATTATACTATTTATATATATTCATTCCCCTAATAACAGATAAAGGTGTACGTTAGATATAGTATTTGATCGTGAAGCCTAACTTTTCCTTTTCTTGCATGTTTATTCAGCCATATAGTCTGTTTAACTTTATGTGTTCTATTTGTTTCCATGACGCACCGCCCCACAACAAAGCGTTGAGTCGCCGAATGAGTGCGCGACTACGTGGTAAAAAGCTACTAGTATATGACAACAGATACTTCATTTTTGAGCTCGCCGTTGACATGTTTGTTATTAAGCCAAATAACGAACTTTAACACAAACCGAAGGAGGCAGGGCATTACTTTTTACTATTTTGCAGTTTTGTCCAAGATGGCTGCCAATTGCGTATTATAGCTAGCCAAGCCCATTTATTCACAGATATTGTGCTAAGTGAGTATACTGATGTATTGTATGACAAAACAATTTTTTTGTATCACTTTAGAAGATATTTAAACAAAATATATATCACAGGCTTATTTATTTTTGTTTGGGGGGGGGGGGTTCCAGAATAGTAATTAAAAAAAAAGGAGGTGGCGGCCAAAAAGGAGGCGAGCGGGGACAAGAAACACTTCGAGTTTGTTATTTGGCCTCATTTATATCTATTTCAAAGGACCAGTTTCATGGAAAAATATCCCGTTTAATATGAAAAACCCCATCTTTTATCATTGTATTCAATCTCAAAATAAATGACGTCACGTTTCAGTTAATGCATTTTGTAATGTTCCCCCCCCCCCCTTCCCTTCTCCTTTCTTTTTTCACCCTTTTGTATTGGCGTTAAGGTTTTTCTCTGCTTTTCTTTTCTCAACAATACAGTGTATATTTCTTAAGGGGTTGACGTTCATCAGGCTAACTGTCCTTTTTGTTAACCCCACATTCCCTCTATCTTTCAAACGCAACTCATCAAAACTTGAAAACATGACGGCAGCATAATATTAGGCCAAACAAAAAAAACAAAACATGTTTAGCGTCCTGCCTTTTTTTTCTTCTTTTTTTCCTTTTCAAAATGGCCGCTTGGTACATTTTTAGTGACAAGATAGATGCAGGGATTTTAATTATTAAAAAAAAAAATCAGAAATAGATCCATTTTAACGGTGTTTTACATGTTTTTTTTTACTAAAAAACGGAAGGAGGCCCCAAAAAGGGAAGCGGACGGGGACGCTAAACATATATTTTTGTTAAAGGCCTTACGTTGTTTTTATTACTTTTCGTGCGGCAGTGTGTTATCTAAACAAATTAATTTTATGCTTGAAATATTATATCCCAGCCCTAAGTTGTTGCTTTATTTGCACCTTGTAACAATATCCACTTGATCTTCATTAAAAAAATAAGAATATTTCGGCAAAAGTCGATTTGCAATTCTATAATGAGAGTCGACAATTTTGTTAGCAGCTAGTACCAGTAAAAGGTTAATATATCTTACCCGCCGCGGCTCCGTCAACGCATGTAGCTCCAGTAAACCCAGTTGCACATGTACACGTACCGGTCGTCTCACAGGTACCACCGTTTTCACATTGGCTGTCTTCAGTACAGCCTTCAAAATGAGAGAAAAGAAATTACCATTACATTACTTACGAATCGCTTCATAATCTTGGAATTTAAGAATGGTGTAATGAGAATTGCGAATCTAGAAAGTGTGTAGACTTTTTCATTTTCCTAATGAGGGGGGGGGGTTGGGGTGGGGGAGGGTTAGTAAATTACAATGATTATCATGACATTTCTGGTAGAACATCCCACTTTGTTACTCTTTAGCTGGTAAATAGACTGCAATAAAGTTGTACATTTTATTATTGTCACTATGTGCATTGTATGTATACATTGCGAACATTAGTTGTTAAAGTTTTTACTTTAATTCACCCTAGACCCATTTTGTTCATATCTTTGTGTCCTTATATATGTGTAATGTATGAGCATTGTATTCACAAGTTCTGCATGCCTATTGTTGATGTTATGTTTGTTTATATTGTCATACCCCGAGAGGGGTTCAAAGAGTCAATAAAATACCACAATTCTACAATTAAGAGGTTAAAGTCACGATAAATGTCATTAATGTATGCTCTTTTATTATGATGATTATTGCTTATTTTCTATCACAAATAAATACAAGTTAAAGTAACGATAGATGTCATTGATGTATGTTCTTTAAATGTAAGGATTATCGTCTATTTTCTATCAAAATAAATACGATTTGATGTATGGCTTGTAAGAGGTGTCTTCTAAAGAGATAGTAGATCAAAATAACAAGTGTAATTTTCATTTTAACCAAAAAAAAAATTTCGCTAATGTTTTTAGAGCATCAATGTATAGTAAGACAATGTGGAACTCTCACAGTTGATGTGAATGAGTGTGTTCGGGATTACTCCTGAAAATGAACCCTTGTTCAGATAAAGGGAGAAGTGATAAGGTGAGTAGGACGAACTGTAAAGAACAACACAGACATTTCAAAGAATAGTTTGCATTAATAAAAATGTTCCAACTTAATTTCTCTGCTTGAATTATTAGATCCCATCCCTAAGTTGTTGCTTTATGTGCGCCTTGTAACAATTTGCACTTGGTCTTCATTAACAAAACTAAGATTATTTAGAAAAAAGGTCAATTTGCAATTCTATAATAAGAGTCGACAATTTTGTTAGCAGCTAGTACCATTAAAGGTTAATATATTTTACCTGCCGCGGCTCCGTCAACGCATGTAGCTCCAGTAAACCCCGTTGCACATGTACACGTACCGGCCGTCTCACAGGTACCACCGTTTTCACATTGGCTGTCTTCAGTACAGTCTTCAAAATAAGATAAAAGAAATTACCATTACATTACCTTCGAATCGCTTCATAATCTTGGATTTTAAGAATAGTGTAATGAGAATTGTGAATCTAGAAAGTGTGTTGACTTTTTCATTTTCCTAATGAAAACTCGGGGAGGGGGAGGGATTGGAGTGGGGGAGGGTGAGGAAATTACAATGATGATCATGACATTTCTAGTAGAACATCCCACTTCGTTACTCTTCAGCTGGTAAGTAGACTGCAATAAAGTTATACATTTTATTAATGTCACTATGTGCATTGTATGTATACATTGCGAACACTAGTTGTTAAAGTTCTGATTTTAATTCACCCTAGACCCATTTTGTTCATATCTTTGTGTCCTTATATATGTGTAATGTATGAGAATTGTATTCACAAGTTCTGCATGCCTATTGTTGATGTTATGTTTGTTTAGACTCTCATACCCCGAGAGGGGTTCAAAGAGTCAATAAAATACCACAACTTACAAATAAATGGTTAAAGTAACGATAAATGGCATTAATGTATGCTCTTATTTTCTGATGATTATTGCTTATTTTCTATCACAAATAAATACAAGTTATAGTAACGATAGATGTCATTGATGTATGTTCTTTAAATGTGAGGATTATCGTCTATTTTCTATCAAAAATAAATACAAGTTATAGTAACGATAGATGTCATTGATGTATGTTCTTTAAATGTGAGGATTATCGTCTATTTTCTATCAAAAATAAATACGATTTGATATATGGCTTGTAAGAGGTGTCTTCTAAAGAGATAGTAGATCAAAATAACAAGTGTAATTTTCATTTGAACCAAAACAAAGATTTCGTTAATGTTTTTAGAGCTTCAATGTATAGTAAGACAATAGGGAACTGTCACAGTTGGTGTAAATGAGTGTGTTCGGGATTACTCCTAAAAATGAACCCTTGTTCAGATAAAAGGAGAAGTCATAAAGTGAGTAGGACGAACTGTAAAGAACAACACAGACATTTCAAAGAATAGTTTGCATTAATAAAATTGTTCCAACTTAATTTCTCTGCTTGAATTATTAGATCCCAGCCCTAAGTTGTTGCTTTATGTGCGCCTTGTTACAATGTGCACTTGGTCTTCATTAACAAAACTAAGATTATTTAGAAAAAAAGGTTGATTTTCAATTCTATAATAAGAGTCGACAATTTTGTTAGCAGCTAGTACCAGTAAAAGGTTAATATATTTTACCTGCCGCGGCTCCGTCAACGCATGTAGCTCCAGTAAACCCCGTTGCACATGTACACGTACCGGCCGTCTCACAGGTACCACCGTTTTCACATTGGCTGTCTTCAGTACAGTCTTCAACATGAGAGAAAAGAAATTACCATTACATTACTTTCGAATCGCTTCATAATCTTGGAATTTAAGAATGGTGTAATGAGAATTGTAAATCTAGAAAGTGTGTTGACTTTTTCATTTTCCTAATGAAAACTCGGGGAGGGGGGGATTGGAGTGGGGGAGGGTGAGGAAATTACAATGATGATCATGACATTTCTAGTAGAACATCCCACTTCGTTACTCTTCAGCTGGTAAGTAGACTGCAATAAAGTTATACATTTTATTAATGTCACTGTGTGCATTGTATGTATACATTGCGAACACTAGTTGTTAAAGTTCTGATTTTAATTTACCCTAGACCCATTTTGTTCATATCTTTGTGTCCTTATATATGTGTAATGTATGAGAATTGTATTCACAAGTTCTGCATGCCTATTGTTGATGTTATGTTTGTTTAGACTCTCATACCCCGAGAGGGGTTCAAAGAGTCAATACAATACCACAATTTTACAATTAAGAGGTTAAAGTCACGATAAATGTTATTAATGTATGCTCTTTTATTATGATGATTATTGCTTATTTTCTATCACAAATAAATACAAGTTAAAGTAACGATAGATGTCATTGATGTATGTTCTTTAAATGTGAGGATTATCGTCTATTTTCTATCATAATAAATACGATTTGATGTATGGCTTGTAAGAGGTGTCTTCTGAAGAGAAAGTAGATCAAAATAACAAGTGTAATTTTCATTTGAACCAAAACATAATTTCGCTAATGTTTTTAGAGCATCAATGTATAGTATGAATATGTGGAACTGTCACAGTTGGTGTAAATGAGTGTGTTCGGGATTACTCCTCAAAATGAACCCTTGTTCAGATAAAAGGAGAAGTCATAAGGTGAGTAGGATGAACTGTAAAGAACAACACAGACATTTCAAAGAATAGTTTGCATTAATAAAATTGTTCCAACTTAATTTCTCTGCTTGAATTATTAGATCCCAGCCCTAAGTTGTTGCTTTATGTGCGCCTTGTAACAATTTGCACTTGGTCTTCATTAACAAAACTAAGATTATTTAGAAAAAAGGTCGATTTGCAATTCTATAAGAAGAGTCGACAATTTTGTAAGCAGCTAGTACCAGTAAAAGGTTAATATATTTTACCTGCCGCGGCTCCGTCAACGCATGTAGCTCCAGTAAACCCCGTTGCACATGTACACGTACCGGCCGTCTCACAGGTACCACCGTTTTCACATTGGCTGTCTTCAGTACAGTCTTCAAAATGAGAAAAATGAAATTACTATTACATTACTTACGAATCGCTTCATAATCTTGGAATTTAAGAATGGTGTAATAAGAATTGTAAATCTAGAACGTGTGTAGACTTTTTCATTTTTCTAATGAAAACTCGGGGGGGTTGGAGTGGGGGAGGGTGAGGAAATTACAATGATGATCATGACATTTCTAGTAGAACATCCCACTTCGTTACTTTTCAGCTGGTAAGTAGACTGCAATAAAGTTATACATTTTATTAATGTCACTATGTGCATTGTATGTATACATTGCGAAAACTAGATGTTAAAGTTCTGATTTTAATTCACCCTAGACCCATTTTGTTCATATCTTTGTGTCCTTATATATGTGTAAAGTATGAGAATTGTATTCACAAGTTCTGCATGCCTATTGTTGATGTTATGTTTGTTTATATTGTCATACCCCGAGAGGGGTTCAAAGAGTCAATAAAATACCACAACTTACAAATAAATGGTTAAAGTAACGATAAATGTCATTAATGTATGCTCTTATTTTCTGATGAGTATTGCTTATTTTCTATCACAAATAAATACAAGTTATAGTAACGATAGATGTCATTGATGTATGTTCTTTGAATGTGAGGATTATCGTCTATTTTCTTTCAAAAATAAATACAAGTTATATTGTAACGATAGATGTCATTGATGTATGTTCTTTAAATGTGAGGATTATCGTCTATTTTCTATCAAAAATAAATACGATTTGATATATGGCTTGTAAGAGGTGTCTTCTAAAGAGATAGTAGATCAAAATAACAAATGTAATTTTCATTTGAACCAAAACAAAATTTCGCTAATGTTTTTAGAGCATCAAGGTATAGTAAGACAATGTGGAACTGTCACAGTTGGTGTAAATGAGTGTGTTCGGGATTACTCCTCAAAATGAACCCTTGTTCAGATAAAAGGAGAAGTCATGAGGTAAGTAGGACGAACTGTAAAGAACAACACAGACATTTCAAAGAATAGTTTGCATTAATAAAATTGTTCCAACTTAATTTCTCTGCTTGAATTATTAGATCCCAGCCCTAAGTTGTTGCTTTATGTGCGCCTTGTAACAATGTGCACTTGGTCTTCATTAACAAAACTAAGATTATTTAGAAAAAAGGTCGATTTGCAATTCTATAAGAAGAGTCGACAATTTTGTTAGCAGCTAGTACCAGTAAAAGGTTAATATATTTTACCTGCCGCGGCTCCGTCAACGCATGTAGCTCCAGTAAACCCCGTTGCACATGTACAATTACCGTCCGTCTCACAAGTACCACCGTTTTCACATTGGCTGTCTTCAGTACAGCCTTCAAAATGAGAGAAAAGAAATTACCATTACATTACTTACGAATCGCTTCATAATCTTGGAATTTAAGAATGGTGTAATAAGAATTGTAAATCTAGAAAGTGTGTAGACTTTTTCATTTTTCCAATGAAAACTCGGGGAGGGGGTTGGAGTGGGGGAGGGTGAGGAAATTACAATGATGATCATAACATTTCTAGTAGAACATCCCACTTCGTTACTCTTCAGCTGGTAAGTAGACTGCAATAAAGTTATACATTTTATTAATGTAACTATGTGCATTGTATGTATACATTGCAAACACTAGATGTTAAAGTTCTGATTTTAATTCACCCTTGACCCATTTTGTTCATATCTTTGTGTCCTTATATATGTGTAATGTATGAGAATTGTATTCACAAGTTCTGAATGCCTATTGTTGAGGTTATGTTTGTTTATACTCTCATACCCCGAGAGGGGTTCAAAGAGTCAATAAAATACCACAACTTACAATTAAGAGGTTTAAGTCACGATAAATGTCATTAATGTATGCTCTTTTATTCTGATGATTATTGCTTATTTTCTATCACAAATAAATACAAGTTAAAGTAACGATAGATGTCATTGATGTATGTTCTTTAAATGTGAGGATTATCGTCTATTTTCTATCAAAAATAAATAGGATTTGATATATGGCTTGTAAGAGGTGTCTTCTGAAGAGATAGTAGATCAAAATAACAAATGTAATTTTCATTTGAACCAAAACAAAATTTCGCTAATGTTTTTAGAGCATCAAGGTATAGTAAGACAATGTGGAACTGTCACAGTTGGTGTAAATGAGTGTGTTCGGGATTACTCCTAAAAATGAACCCTTGTTCAGATAAAAGGAGAAGTCATGAGGTAAGTAGGACGAACTGTAAAGAACAACACAGACATTTCAAAGAATAGTTTGCATTAATAAAATTGTTCCAACTTAATTTCTCTGCTTGAATTATTAGATCCCAGCCCTAAGTTGTTGCTTTATGTGCGCCTTGTAACAATGTGCACTTGGTCTTCATTAACAAAACTAAGATTATTTAGAAAAAAGGTCGATTTGCAATTCTATAAGAAGAGTCGACAATTTTGTTAGCAGCTAGTACCAGTAAAAGGTTAATATATTTTACCTGCCGCGGCTCCGTCAACGCATGTAGCTCCAGTAAACCCCGTTGCACATGTACAATTACCGTCCGTCTCACAAGTACCACCGTTTTCACATTGGCTGTCTTCAGTACAGCCTTCAAAATGAGAGAAAAGAAATTACCATTACATTACTTACGAATCGCTTCATAATCTTGGAATTTAAGAATGGTGTAATAAGAATTGTAAATCTAGAAAGTGTGTAGACTTTTTCATTTTTCCAATGAAAACTCGGGGAGGGGGTTGGAGTGGGGGAGGGTGAGGAAATTACAATGATGATCATAACATTTCTAGTAGAACATCCCACTTCGTTACTCTTCAGCTGGTAAGTAGACTGCAATAAAGTTATACATTTTATTAATGTAACTATGTGCATTGTATGTATACATTGCAAACACTAGATGTTAAAGTTCTGATTTTAATTCACCCTTGACCCATTTTGTTCATATCTTTGTGTCCTTATATATGTGTAATGTATGAGAATTGTATTCACAAGTTCTGAATGCCTATTGTTGAGGTTATGTTTGTTTATACTCTCATACCCCGAGAGGGGTTCAAAGAGTCAATAAAATACCACAACTTACAATTAAGAGGTTTAAGTCACGATAAATGTCATTAATGTATGCTCTTTTATTCTGATGATTATTGCTTATTTTCTATCACAAATAAATACAAGTTAAAGTAACGATAGATGTCATTGATGTATGTTCTTTAAATGTGAGGATTATCGTCTATTTTCTATCAAAAATAAATAGGATTTGATATATGGCTTGTAAGAGGTGTCTTCTGAAGAGATAGTAGATCAAAATAACAAGTGTAATTTTCATTTGAACCAAAACAAAAATTTCGCTAATATTTTTATAGCATCAATGTATAGTAAGACAATGTCGAACTGTCACAGTTGGTGTAAATGAGTGTGTTCGGGATTACTCCTAAAAATGAACCCTTGTTCAGATAAAAGGAGAAGTCATGAGGTAAGTAGGACGAACTGTAAAGAACAACACAGACATTTCAAAGAATAGTTTGCATTAATAAAATTGTTCCAACTTAATTTCTCTGCTTGAATTATTAGATCCCAGCCCTAAGTTGTTGCTTTATGTGCGCCTTGTAACAATGTGCACTTGGTCTTCATTAACAAAACTAAGATTATTTAGAAAAAAGGTCGATTTGCAATTCTATAAGAAGAGTCGACAATTTTGTTAGCAGCTAGTACCAGTAAAAGGTTAATATATTTTACCTGCCGCGGCTCCGTCAACGCATGTAGCTCCAGTAAACCCCGTTGCACATGTACAATTACCGTCCGTCTCACAAGTACCACCGTTTTCACATTGGCTGTCTTCAGTACAGCCTTCAAAATGAGAGAAAAGAAATTACCATTACATTACTTACGAATCGCTTCATAATCTTGGAATTTAAGAATGGTGTAATAAGAATTGTAAATCTAGAAAGTGTGTAGACTTTTTCATTTTTCCAATGAAAACTCGGGGAGGGGGTTGGAGTGGGGGAGGGTGAGGAAATTACAATGATGATCATGACATTTCTAGTAGAACATCCCACTTCGTTACTCTTCAGCTGGTAAGTAGACTGCAATAAAGTTATACATTTTATTAATGTAACTATGTGCATTGTATGTATACATTGCAAACACTAGATGTTAAAGTTCTGATTTTAATTCACCCTTGACCCATTTTGTTCATATCTTTGTGTCCTTATATATGTGTAATGTATGAGAATTGTATTCACAAGTTCTGAATGCCTATTGTTGAGGTTATGTTTGTTTATACTCTCATACCCCGAGAGGGGTTCAAAGAGTCAATAAAATACCACAACTTACAATTAAGAGGTTTAAGTCACGATAAATGTCATTAATGTATGCTCTTTTATTCTGATGATTATTGCTTATTTTCTATCACAAATAAATACAAGTTAAAGTAACGATAGATGTCATTGATGTATGTTCTTTAAATGTGAGGATTATCGTCTATTTTCTATCAAAAATAAATAGGATTTGATATATGGCTTGTAAGAGGTGTCTTCTGAAGAGATAGTAGATCAAAATAACAAATGTAATTTTCATTTGAACCAAAACAAAATTTCGCTAATGTTTTTAGAGCATCAAGGTATAGTAAGACAATGTGGAACTTTCACAGTTGGTGTAAATGAGTGTGTTCGGGATTACTCCTAAAAATGAACCCTTGTTCAGATAAAAGGAGAAGTCATGAGGTAAGTAGGACGAACTGTAAAGAACAACACAGACATTTCAAAGAATAGTTTGCATTAATAAAATTGTTCCAACTTAATTTCTCTGCTTGAATTATTAGATCCCAGCCCTAAGTTGTTGCTTTATGTGCGCCTTGTAACAATGTGCACTTGGTCTTCATTAACAAAACTAAGATTATTTAGAAAAAAGGTCGATTTGCAATTCTATAAGAAGAGTCGACAATTTTGTTAGCAGCTAGTACCAGTAAAAGGTTAATATATTTTACCTGCCGCGGCTCCGTCAACGCATGTAGCTCCAGTAAACCCCGTTGCACATGTACAATTACCGTCCGGGTCACAAGTACCACCGTTTTCACATTGGCTGTCTTCAGTACAGCCTTCAAAATGAGAGAAAAGAAATTACCATTACATTACTTACGAATCGCTTCATAATCTTGGAATTTAAGAATGGTGTAATAAGAATTGTAAATCTAGAAAGTGTGTAGACTTTTTCATTTTTCCAATGAAAACTCGGGGAGGGGGTTGGAGTGGGGGAGGGTGAGGAAATTACAATGATGATCATAACATTTCTAGTAGAACATCCCACTTCGTTACTCTTCAGCTGGTAAGTAGACTGCAATAAAGTTATACATTTTATTAATGTAACTATGTGCATTGTATGTATACATTGCAAACACTAGATGTTAAAGTTCTGATTTAATTCACCCTTGACCCATTTTGTTCATATCTTTGTGTCCTTATATATGTGTAATGTATGAGAATTGTATTCACAAGTTCTGAATGCCTATTGTTGAGGTTATGTTTGTTTATACTCTCATACCCCGAGAGGGGTTCAAAGAGTCAATAAAATACCACAACTTACAATTAAGAGGTTTAAGTCACGATAAATGTCATTAATGTATGCTCTTTTATTCTGATGATTATTGCTTATTTTCTATCACAAATAAAAACAAGTTAAAGTAACGATAGATGTCATTGATGTATGTTCTTTAAATGTGAGGATTATCGTCTATTTTCTATCAAAAATAAATATGATTTGATATATGGCTTGTAAGAGGTGTCTTCTGAAGAGATAGTAGATCAAAATAACAAGTGTAATTTTCATTTGAACCAAAACAAAAATTTCGCTAATGTTTTTAGAGCATCAATGTATAGTAAGACAATGTCGAACTGTCACAGTTGGTGTAAATGAGTGTGTTCGGGATTACTCTTGAAAATGAACCCTTGTTCAGATAAAAGGAGAAGAGATAAGATGAGTAGGACGAACTGTAAAGAACAACACAGACATTTCAAAGAATAGTTTGCATTAATAAAAATGTTCCAACTTAATTTCTCTGCTTGAATTATAAGATCCAAGCCCTAAGTTGTTGCTTTATGTGCGCCTTCTAACAATGTGCACTTGGTCTTCATTAACAAAACTAAGATTATTTAGAAAAAAGGTCGATTTGCAATTCTATAAGAAGAGTCGACAATTTTGTTAGCAGCTAGTACCAGTAAAAGGTTAATATATTTTACCTGCCGCGGCTCCGTCAACGCATGTAGCTCCAGTAAACCCCGTTGCACATGTACAATTACCGTCCGGGTCACAAGTACCACCGTTTTCACATTGGCTGTCGTCAGTACAGCCTTTAAAATGAGAGAAAAGAAATTACCATTACATTTCTTACGAATCGCTTCATAATCTTGGAATTTAAGAATGGTGTAATGAGAATTGTAAATCTAGAAAGTGTGTAGACTTTTTCATTTTTCTAATGAAAACTCAGGGGGGGGGTTGGAGTGGGGGAGGGTGAGGAAATTACAATGATGATCATGACATTTCTAGTAGAACATCCCACTTCGTTACTCTTCAGCTGGTAAGTAGACTGCAATAAAGTTATACATTTTATTAATGTCACTATGTGCATTGTATGTATACATTGCGAACACTTGTTGTTAAAGTTCTGATTTTAATTCACCCTAGACCCATTTTGTTCATATCTTTGTGTCCTTATATATGTGTAATGTATGAGAATTGTATTCACAAGTTCTGAATGCCTATTGTTGAGGTTATGTTTGTTTATACTCTCATACCACGAGAGGGGTTCAAATAGTCAATAAAATACCACAACTTACAATTAAGAGGTTAAAGTCACGATAAATGTCATTAATGTATGCTCTTTTATTCTGATGAGTATTGCTTATTTTCTATCACAAATAAATACAAGTTAAAGTAACGATAGATGTCATTGATGTATGTTCTTTAAATGTGAGGATTATCGTCTATTTTCTATCAAAAATAAATACGATATGATATATGGCTTGTAAGAGGTGTCTTCTGAAGAGATAGTAGATCAAAATAACAAGTGTAATTTTCATTTGAACCAAAACAAAAATTTCGCTAATGTTTTTAGAGCATCAATGTATAGTAAGACAATGTGGAACTGTCACAGTTGGTGTAAATGAGTGTGTTCGAGATTACTCCTCAAAATGAACCCTTGTTCAGATAAAAGGAGAAGTGATAAGATGAGTAGGACGAACTGTAAAGAACAACACAGACATTTCAAAGAATAGTTTGGTATTAATAAAAATGTTCCAACTTAATTTTCTTTGCTTGAATTATTAGATCCAAGCCCTAAGTTGTTGCTCTATGTGCGCCTTGTAACAATGTGCACTTGGTCTTCATTAACAAAACTAAGATTATTTAGAAAAAGGTCGATTTGCAATTCTATAGGAAGAGTCGACAATTTTGTTAGCAGCTAGTACCAGTAAAAGGTTAATATATTTTACCTGCCGCGGCTCCGTCAACGCATGTAGCTCCAGTAAACCCCGTTGCACATGTACAATTACCGTCCTCGTCACAAGTACCACCGTTTTCACATTGGCTGTCGTCAGTACAGCCTTCAAAATGAGAGAAAATAAATTACCATTACATTACTTACGAATCGCTTCATAATCTTGGAATTTAAGAATGGTGTAATGAGAATTGTAAAATCTAGAAAGTGTGTAGACTTTTTCATTTTTCTAATGAAAACTCGGGGGGGTTGGAGTGGGGGAGGGTGAGGAAATTACAATGATGATCATGACATTTCTAGTAGAACATCCCACTTCGTTACTCTTCAGCTGTTAAGTAACTGCAATAAAGTTATACATTTTATTAATGTCACTATGTGCATTGTATGTATACATTGCGAACACTAGTTGTTAAAGTTCTGATTTTAATTCACCCTAGACCCATTTTGTTCATATCTTTGTGTCCTTATATATATGTAATGTATGAGAATTGTATTCACAAGTTCTGAATGCCTATTGTTGAGGTTATGTTTGTTTATACTCTCATACCCCGAGAGGGGTTCAAAGAGTCAATAAAATACCACAACTTACAATTAAGAGGTTAAAGTCACGATAAATGTCATTAATGTATGCTCTTTTATTCTGATGAGTATTGCTTATTTTCTATCACAAATAAATACAAGTTAAAGTAACGATAAATGTGATTGATGTATGTTCTTTAAATGAGAGGATTATCGTCTATTTTCTATCAAAAATAAATACGATTTGATGTATGGCTTGTAAGAGGTGTCTTCTGAAGAGATAGTAGATCAAAATAACAAGTGTAATTTTCATTTGAACCAAAACAAAAATTTCGCTAATGTTTTTAGAGCATCAATGTATAGTAAGACAATGTGGAACTGTCACAGTTGGTGTAAATGAGTGTGTTCGGGATTACTCCTCAAAATGAACCCTTGTTCAGATAAAAGGAGAAGTGATAAGATGAGTAGGACGAACTGTAAAGAACAACACAGACATTTCAAAGAATAGTTTGCATTAATAAAAATGTTCCAACTTAATTTCTCTGCTTGAATTATAAGATCCAAGCCCTAAGTTGTTGCTCTATGTGCGCCTTGTAACAATGTTCACTTGGTCTTCATTAACAAAACTAAGATTATTTAGAAAAAAGGTCGATTTGCAATTCTATAAGAAGAGTCGACAATTTTGTTAGCAGCTAGTACCAGTAAAAGGTTAATACATTTTACCTGCCGCGGCTCCGTCAACGCATGTAGCTCCAGTAAACCCCGTTGCACATGTACAATTACCGTCCGCGTCACAAGTACCACCGTTTTCACATTGGCTGTCGTCAGTACAGCCTTCAAAATGAGAGAAAAGAAATTACCATTACATTACTTACGAATCGCTTCATAATCTTGGAATTTAAGAATGGTGTAATGAGAATTGTAAATCTAGAAAGTGTGTAGACATTTTCATTTTTCTAATGAAAACTCGGGGGGGGGGTTGGAGTGGGGGAGGGTGAGGAAATTACAATGATGATCATGACATTTCTAGTAGAACATCCCACTTCGTTACTCTTCAGCTGGTAAGTAGACTGCAATAAAGTTATACATTTTATTAATGTCACTATGTGCATTGTATGTATACATTGCGAACACTAGTTGTTAAAGTTCTGATTTTAATTCACCCTCGACCCACTTTGGTTATATCTTTGTGTCCTTATATATGTGTAATGTATGAGAATTGTATTCACAAGTTCTGCATGCCTATTGTTGAGGTTATGTTTGTTTATACTCTCATACCCCGAGAGGGGTTCAAAGAGTCAATAAAATACCACAACTTACAATTAAGAGGTTAAAGTCACGATAAATGTCATTAATGTATTCTCTTTTATTCTGATGAGTATTGCTTATTTTCTATCACAAATAAATACAAGTTAAAGTAACGATAGATGTCATTGATGTATGTTCTTTAAATGTGAGGATTATCGTCTATTTTCTATCAAAAATAAATACGATTTGATATATGGTTTGTAAGAGGTGTCTTCTGAAGAGATAGTAGATCAAAATAACAAGTGTAATTTTCATTTGAACCAAAACAAAAAATTCGCTAATGTTATTAGAGCATCAATGTATAGTAAGACAATGTCGAACTGTCACAGTTGGTGTAAATGAGTGTGTTCGGGATTACTCCTCAAAATGAACCCTTGTTCAGATAAAAGGAGAAGTGATAAGATGAGTAGGACGAACTGTAAAGAACAACACAGACATTTCAAAGAATAGTTTGGTATTAATAAAAATGTTCCAACTTAATTTCTCTGCTTGAATTATTAGATCCAAGCCCTATAAGTTGTTGCTCTATGTGCGCCTTGTAACAATGTGCACTTGGTCTTCATTAACAAAACTAAGATTATTTAGAAAAAAGGTCGATTTGCAATTCTATAAGAAGAGTCGACAATTTTGTTAGCAGCTAGTACCAGTAAAAGGTTAATATATTTTACCTGCCGCGGCTCCGTCAACGCATGTAGCTCCAGTAAACCCCGTTGCACATGTACAATTACCGTCCGCGTCACAAGTACCACCGTTTTCACATTGGCTGTCGTCAGTACAGCCTTCAAAATGAGAGAAAAGAAATTACCATTACATTACTTACGAATCGCTTCATAATCTTGGAATTTAAGAATGGTGTAATAAGAATTGTAAATCTAGAAAGTGTGTAGACTTTTTCATTTTTCTAATGAAAACTCGGGGGGATTGGAGTGGGGGAGGGTGAGGAAATTACAATGATGATCATGACATTTCTAGTAGAACCTCCCACTTCGTTACTCTTCAGCTGGTAAGTAGACTGCAATAAAGTTAAACATTCTATTAATGTCACTATGTGCATCGTATGTATACATTGTGAACACTAGTTGTTAAAGTTTTGATTTTAATTCACCCTAGACCCATTTTGTTCATATCTTTGTGTCCTTATATATGTGTAATGTATGAGAATTGTATTCACAAGTTCTGCATGCCTATTGTTGATGTTATGTTTGTTTATACTCCCATACCCCGATAGGGGTTCAAAGAGTCAATAAAATACCCCAATTCTACAATTCTACAATTAAGAGGTTATTGTCACGATAAATGTCATTAATGTATGCTCTTTTATTCTGATGATTATCGCCTATTTTCTATCACAAATAAATACAAGTTAAAGTAACAATAGATGTCATTGATGTATGTTCTTTCATTCTGATGATTATCGCCTTATTTCTATCACAAATAAATACGAGTTAAAGTCACGATACGTGTCATTGATGTACACTCTTAGTTTCGGCGAGTAAATTGTGCCGAGTAAAACAAGCTGAGTAACAAAACGAGCAATTCAGTACTCAAGCTGGAGTAAGAAATCAATTTTAGTGGTACTCGTCATCCGAGTAGTTTGTTACCTTCGATGAAGAGTAAATCAATGACTCAACATTGAGTTAGAACTTCGTTTGTGTCAATAGGGACTTTTAGATTCGCACGAAGACAATACGTCTATGCTACGATCGACGTCGTGTTAATGCACTGCCGTGAATGGACGTCACACGTATCAGTCCACGCAAATCTAAAAGTCCCTAATTTTGAGTAACTACGGTTGGGCATTAGCTGTCTCGTGCATGCATGTGCGCGTGTAGAAAGATGCAAAAGAACAGAGATAGATGTGACACATTGGGAATAAATTCTGAGCTCATGGATCAAGCTTGGAAGAGCTCCAACCGACATTTCTAGGTAAGAAATCCTCATGATAATATTAAAGAGCTACCGTGTGATATTTAGTCAAGTCTCAAGGACACTGTGTTGATCACGATTGTGAAATTATTGTTGTCACTGTCGATGTCATTAATTTGATTGTGAACTTGGGCAATTCTCCAAGGGCGAGTGTGCATGCTTTAATTTAGTGACCGGTAATAGCTAGCTTACTTTATTGTATTTGTATTAACACGTATTGGCCTGGGGTAGGCCTATTGATGCAGATGGTTCTAGGACAATTACCCCTGGGCAATCGGCAAATTACCAGCGGGACGATTACCCCCCCCCCCCCCAGAAAAAAAACCAAAAAACCCTGAAGACAACCACCCCAGACAATTACCCCCTAGGACTCGGAGTAGGACAACTCCCCCCCCCCCCCCCCGAAAAAAAAATCTTCTTTTATCAAAACCAATTAGTTGTTATCATCCTATCGAAACTTAATGCGCATAAATTAACCTCTAAACCTTGTTAATTCTTACCGTGTTAACTACATATCAAAATGTTATCATTTTAGGAAGGAACTGGCTTTGACTTTTTTCCTGGCCTCCTTCAGAGGAAGGAGCCAACTGTTTTTGTTGGTTTTTTTGAGGAACACCAAAGAAGCCAGGACAGTGTTATGTAGTCCTCGAGAGAAGCGCCTATTCATGCTCTTCATTGACAACAGCAGTTGAATACTGCTACAAGATGTTCTAAGTACTACAGCTGGATTACCCTGCCCATGCAGCTGTCATATGGGACTTCTTTGATCGTCTCATTTATGGAATTCGTATCAAGGATTTTATTCAACCATGGACCCTAGTACAGACGGACTAATAATGAGAGTCTTTCTTTGATCACATCATTATCACCACCACCTGATAATGTGTATGTTGATGGGACATTTATTTGACGCGACAATGTTTATTATTTAATCACGCATCATCACAGACAAAAGAACTTTTACATTTCTTCAGATTATTTTCGCTAGGCCAGGGCCCAGAGTGTAGTTTCAGGATAAGTATCGTGATTTAAGAGCAGTTAGAGGAGCAGTGAACCCCAAATTATGGCAATTTGTGTGATATTAGATTGATTATTAAAGAAGTGGACACTGCATGGTGGACATACATCTGGACTTGCAAAACTTTGAGAAATAGATATTCTTTACTGTCCTATTACCTTCTATTCCTTGGAAATGGATAGGATAAGTTTTAAAATGAAGTTTGTGATCATTATGTTACAGCCAAATTTACAGGTTTCTCTTGTAAACTACTTCTAATTTTCTATTGAAGACTTCATAAACGTTCATATTTATATGTGCGCCACAACTGCAAATAAATTTCCGTGATTTCAAGCGATTAAGCTTCTTTTGCGCAGGCATTTTTTTAGAGTTCCAGGCATAGTTCTTTTTTAAAATTTGTTATGGCTGACTGGCGGCGGTCGTGATGAGCTCAAAGCTTGGAAACATGTTTGGAATGTCATTATGATACTTTTGACAGAGTCAGGTGCATGCATGTATTATGGTACCGATCAGTTTCCATTTGTAGTAGATCCATGATTAAACGACTTCGCTTTCACTGGCTGCCTGTCGTAACAACAAACACAATTGACAAAAGATTTAACTCTGTTTCGTTGAAGATCAGCCATAGAAAAAAAGACCTCATGCATGGCTGATTGTAAACGAAACGGTGTTAAGTCTTTTGTCAATTATGTTTGCCTTATGACATTTTGGTATCCTTTCTTCAAATTTATTTTGATCACTCATGCGTGAAATATGCATCATGCTAGTTGCATTAAATAAAAGTGGAGGACCTAAGCTTTACAAATATGTGTTATTTATTATTTGTGATTAAATTATGATAACATATCGATAATTCTCTGTTTCGTTTTTTCTGGGAGGCACTGTAAAAATATAAATCAGGGGATTCCTATAATTAAACTTTTGTTTACTTGATTTGCATTGATGGCATTAATCCTTGTCTATATGTGTCAAATATTTAACTTACAGAATTGATGCAAACAACTTGAAAGCTCATTTCGATGATTCGATGTAAAGTAACATTGTTTTAAAAGTGAAATTGTTAAACTACATACTTTTTAATATCATGTATGATGAGAGAACTCTGAGTTTTCACTGTGGTTCAACTGATTTTGGAAATTAAAGTCCACAAATTATGTTACTGATATTTAACATTCAGAATTGATGCCCAAAACTTGAATGCTGATTATGATGATGCGATGTAAAGTAACATTGTTTTAGAATTGAAATGTTTAAACTACATACTTTTTAATATCATTATGATGAGAGAACTCTTAGTTTTTACTGTGATTTTAACTGATTTTGGAAATTAAAGTCCACAAATTATGTTACTGAATTTAAAATGTCGTGGACTTTATATTATTTGCATAGTGTGTGAGTGAAGAACTTCAAATCAATGCTAAATTTAGAAATCAGGCAAAATTATGGTTTATATTTTCTATTGACAAATAATGGTTACTTAACAGCTGTTTAAAAAAAAACATAATCAGCGGTTTAGTTAAACCCTTAGTCAAACAGTTACAACCCTAGTTGAATCCACCTTAGTTTTAATCAGTAATAAGTAAAAACATGTACTTAATAACTTAGTACATGTTTTTACTCAATATTGATTGAGCAACTAAGCGTTACACAGAAAAAAATCATACTCAATATTTGAGCAAAAAATTGCTCAAACAATTTGGCCCGAATTCAAAAAGGAGGTTTGTCGTTAAACCTTAGTTTACATATGTCATATGACGCGTTTTTACGCGTTTTTTACAAACCTGGTTTGTAACAAACAAAAGAAGGTTTGACGAAACAAAAGGAGGTTTGTCGACAAACCTCCTTTGTGAATTCGGACCTTTGAGTCAAAATATGTACTCGTTAATTGAGTAAAATTTGGCTCAACTCATGAGCAGTTTCTTACTCGACATGAGTTGTGTATGTTTCTACCCAGATGCTAAGTAAAAAGGGAACCGCTCAACAAAGGAGTAAATATTGAGTAAAGATTGACTCATTGAAACTGAGTAGAGATTTAGTCCTTTATTGAGTAATATTTTTACTCAACTGATGAGTAGATTTGTTACTCAATACATGCTGAGTAAAGTTTACTCAAAAGTTGAGCGGTTCCCTTTTAACTACTTAAAAGAGTACCATTTTACTCAACATTGAGCAGTTTTCATTTAGAGTGTAGGACGTTCCCTCTCGGCCCGTCCGTTTTGATGGGGACCCTCACGTTTCTCACGTTCTGATCAAGGTCTGACACGTTTTTCACGTTCTGTCAAGGCTAACTACTGATGACACGTGGACGGTGAGCAGCTTTGGAGCACCCACGGTATAAAAAGAAGGCCTTTCAAGCAATCGCAATCCTTGTATCCTGATATTTCGACGAGACAGCGTCATAAATGCCCAAGATGACGAAAATTGTATTGTTTGCGTGTTTGCTGGGTCACCTGGGTGCATACATCCAGTCTTTGCGTCAGCAAGAATAAGGCCAGCAACAGTTGCAGAGAGTGAAGGCCAGAGTGATGAGAAGTGATGAGAAGGAAAGATCCATGTCGGTGCGCACAATTGGTTATCGGAAGACAGAAGGCAGCAGTTGGGCCACTACTCATCATTTCTTACTAGAAAGCTCCTCACCGAAGATTTTAACTCCTTTCATAACTATTTGAGGATGCCTTCAGAACTCTTTGACGAGATCCCGGGAAGAGTAACACCAGCCATCGAGCAACGTTCCTCTTCACCTGGCGACGGTGAACGGCGAGTATCTTGAGGCTGCTTCTGCCCATCTACTTGTGGTGGTGGTGGTGCAGGACCGGGAGAGAGGGAGGGCCTTCGTACGTCTTGGCTTCTTTGGTGCCATAGCTTGCCCTTCTTTTTCAAAGCTTGGTCTTCTCTCTCCGTATTGTAGATGCAGTAATGTGTCGTCGATTGCTCAGACTCGAATGAAGCTCCCATGCCGGGCCGCGTATTTTATTTCCTACTTGAGCTCCGGACCCCGAATATGAACTCATTTGCATACAGCCAATCAGAGCTCATCTTGTCAATAACAAGCTTTACGCGCGCTAAAGATGCGAAATTCAAAACGGTGCGAAGCTCTGGGCTTCAACACACACGTACACACAGCGCCTTGCCTATATCAGCATGCATGGTGTGCGTGCATTGACATAGGCTTGCAAATGTTTCATTTCTGCTCTAGCATCTCTACCTTTACCACAATTATTACAGATCTACAAATAGCAGTGTTGTGATTTGATAATTATGCTCAATATTGTTTGGTAATCTGTATATTGGAAAATCGCTTCGACAGATATTTTGCTCAGTGGGGAGGAAGGACGGGGGCGGAGGAGAGGGGGGGGGGGTAGTGACAACTTATTATTACATTTTTATTTGTTCCCGCATATGGGAAAATCGCGTCGACCAATATTTCGCTTGGTTGGGGGGGGGGAGGGGTTAAAGGAGCTTTAATTCTTTTGTTTATGCAACACAACCCCTCCCCAACCCTTGAGCAAAAAAAAAAAAAAAAAAGTGAGGTGGGTTTAACCCCCCCCCCCCCCCCCCCCCCCCCCCCATGTGTTCGCGACTCATGTAGAGCCCCAGACTCAGTGTTATTGGAGACTTACAGTTTTCGACATTCTTTTATTGATTGACACTGTAGCTTGATTCACACTTTTGTTATTTTGGAAGATAGAATGATTCTTAGAGCAAAGTTTGTTCGTCAGTTCCTCGCTTTGAATCAACTAATAAAGGTCAATGAACTAAAATTAACATTGTGACTTTTCATCGGGGATCGAATGGAATGGAAATGCGAAGCTTGAGTTGAAAGGTAGGAGGTTTGAAGAAATCTTACCTCCGTCACAGGTTAAATTAGCTGGACAGGTGCATGTACCGGACTCACAAGTCTCTTCGTGTCGGCAACCCGCGTTATCGGTACAGATGACTGTAAAGAACCAATGGCAATTGTGAACAAGTATGAGATTGTCTGTATTTAAGTTCTTTTATTTACAATAAAAACGACTAAAAAGAACCTGAACACGATGATGATGGTGATAATCTTAAAGATAACTGTATTGATAACGACTGTGATGATGATGAATTAAGACGAATACAATGTCATTTTTACTAATTTTATACTATTCAGTTCTAAGTTTCAAACCGAGTCGCTGTCCCGTTTTTGTTCTAGATATGAACATAACTTCAGGACAAAGTAAAAACGGTCTACTATCGTCATTGACATTTATAAAATGGCTCTAGTATTTTAAGCATCGTGATTGGTCAATACGCTCGGTTTCTTCAGATGGTTCGCACTGTCAACTCGCCGCAAGCGGCTCGTTCACAGAGCGGCACCAATCTAAAGAAACCTCGCGCGTACTGCATTCACCGCTATTGCACTCTGGGACGTGCGTTATTTGTATATCATTGAGCAGTTTCGGACTATTTGAGGCGATAAGTGTACCAAGTTTCAAAGGGATAGACCTTAACGTTTTTACATGTATAACCTTTTGTGTGTAATTAAATTACTAAAGGTCCAAAACATTCAAAAGCATGCGGAAACAATCCTTTGATAATTAACTTTGCAGAAAACAAAACAAAACAAAACACACAATTTGTAAATAGTTCTTGTTGTATATCATAATGTAATTGATAAGACGAAAAGATGAGATCAGAGTAATATGTTGTGATTTGATAATTATGCTCAATATTGTTTGGTAATCTGTATATTGGAAAATCGCTTCGACTGATATTTTGCTCAGTGGGGAGAAAGGACGGGGGCGGAGGAGAGGGGGGGGGGGGGGTAGTGACAACTTATTATTACATTTTTATTTGTTCCCGCATATGGGAAAATCGCGTCGACCAATATTTCGCTTGGTTGGGGGGGGGGGAGGGGTTAAAGGAGCTTTAATTCTTTTGTTTATGCAGCACAACCCCTCCCCAACCCTTGAGCAAAAAAAAAAAAAAAAGTGAGGTGGGTTTAACCCCCCCCCCCCCCCCCCCCCAACCATGTGTTCGCGACTGATGTAGAGCCCCAGACTCAGTGTTATTGGAGACTTACAGTTTTCGACATTCTTTTATTGATTGACACTGTAGCTTGATTCACACTTTTGTTATTTTGGAAGATAGAATGATTCTTAGAGCAAAGTTTGTTCGTCAGTTCCTCGCTTTGAATCAACTAATAAAGGTCAATGAACTAAAATTAACATTGTGACTTTTCATCGGGGATCGAATGGAATGGAAATGCGAAGCCTGAGTTGAAAGGTAGGAGGTTTGAAGAAATCTTACCTCCGTCACAGGTTAAATTAGCTGGACAGGTGCATGTACCCGACTCACAAGTCTCTTCGTATCGGCAGCCCGCGTTATCGGTACAGTTGACTGTAAATAACCAATGGCAATTGTGAACAAGTATGAGATGGTCTGTATTTAAGTTCTTTTATTGACAATAAAAACGACTAAAAAGAACCTGAATACGATGATGATGGTGATAATCCTAAAGATAACTGTATTAATAACGACTGTGATGATGATAAATTACGACAACTACAATGTCATTTTTACTAATTTTATATTATTCAGTTCTAAGTTTCAAACCGAGTCGCTGTCCCGTTTTTGTTCTAGATATGAACATAACTTCAGGACAAAGTAAAAACGGTCTACTATCGTCATTGACATTCATTGAGCAGTTTCGGACTATTTGAGGCGATAAGTGTACCAAGATTCAAAGGGATAGACCTTGACGTTTTTACATGTATAACCTTTTGTGTGTAATTAAATTACTAAAGGTCCAAAACATTCAAAAGCATGCGGAAACAATCCTTTGATAATTAACTTTGCAGAAAACAAAACAAAACAAAACACATAATTTGTAAATAGTTCTTGTTGTATATCATAATTTAATTGATAAGACGAAAAGATGAGATCAGAGTAATATGTTGTGATTTGATAATTATGCTCAATATTGTTTGGTAATCTGTATATTGGAAAATCGCTTCGACTGATATTTTGCTCAGTGGGGAGGAAGAACGGTGGCGGAGGAGAGGGGGGGGGGTAGTGACAACTTATTATTACATTTTTGTTTGTTCCCGCATATGGGAAAATCGCGTCGACCAATATTTCGCTTGGTTGGTTGGGGGAGGGTTAAAGGAGCATTTATTATTTTTCATGCAGCACAACCCCTCCCCAACCCTTGAGCAAAAAAAAATTAAAAAAGTGAGGTGGGTTTAACCCCCCCCCCCCCCCAACCATGTGTTCGCGACTGATGTAGAGCCCCAGACTCAGTGTTATTAGAGACTTACAGTTTTCGACATTCTTCTATTGATTGACACTGTAGCTTGATTCACACTTTTGTTATTTTGGAAGATAGAATGTTTTTTGGAGCAAAGTTTGTTCGTCAGTTCCTCGCTTTGAATCTACAATAAAGGCCATTGAATTAAAAATTAACATTGTGACTTTTCATTGGTGATCGAATGGGGATGCGAAGCCTGAGTTGAAAGGTAGGAGGTTTAAAGAAATCTTACCTCCGTCACAGGTTAAATTAGCTGGACAGGTGCACGTACCCGACTCACAAGTCTTTCCGTTCTCGCAACCCGCGTCAACGGTACAGGTGACTGTAAAGAACCAATGACAATTGTGAACAAGTATGAGATGGTCTGTATTTAAGTTCTTTTAATGACAATACAAACGACTGAAAAGAACCTGAACACGATGATGATGGTGATAATCATCAAGATTACTGTATTGATAACGACTGTGATGATGATAAATTACGACAACTACAATGTCATTTTTACTAATTTTATACTATTCAGTTCTAAGTTTCAAACCGAGTCGCTGTCCCGTTTTTGTTCTAGATATGAACATAACTTCAGGACAAAGTAAAAACGGTCTACTATCGTCATTGACATTCATTGAGCAGTTTCGGACTATTTGAGGCGATAAGTGTACCAAGATTCAAAGGGATAGACCTTGACGTTTTTACATGTATAACCTTTTGTGTGTAATTAAATTACTAAAGGTCCAAAACATTCAAAAGCATGCGGAAACAATCCTTTGATAATTAACTTTGCAGAAAACAAAACAAAACAAAACACACAATTTGTAAATAGTTCTTGTTGTGTATCATAATGTAATTGATAAGACGAAAAGTTGAGATCAGTGTAATATGTTGTGATTTGATAATTATGCTCAATATTGTTTGGTAATCTGTATATTGGAAAATCGCTTCGACTGATATTTTGCTCAGTGGGGAGGAAGGACGGTGGCGGAGGAGAGGGGGGGGGGGAATGACAACTTATTATTACATTTTTATTTGTTCCCGCATATGGGAAAATTGCGTCGACCAATATTTCGCTTGGTTGGGGGGGGAGGGGTTAAAGGAGCTTTAATTCTTTTGTTTATGCAGCACAACCCCTCCCCAACCCTTGAGCAAAAAAAAAAAAGTGAGGTGGGTTTAACCCCCCCCCCCCCCCCCCCTCCCCCCCAACCATGTGTTCGCGACTGATGTAGAGCCCCAGACTCAGTGTTATTGGAGACTTACAGTTTTCGACATTCTTTTATTGATTGACACTGTAGCTTGATTCACACTTTTGTTATTTTGGAAGATAGAATGTTTTTTGGAGCAAAGTTTGTTCGTCAGTTCCTCGCTTTGAATCTACAATAAAGGCCATTGAATTAAAAATTAACATTGTGACTTTTCATTGGTGAACGAATGGGGATGCGAAGCCTGAGTTGAAAGGTAGGAGGTTTAAAGAAATCTTACCTCCGTCACAGGTTAAATTAGCTGGACAGGTGCACGTACCCGACTCACAAGTCTTTCCGTTCTCGCAACCCGCGTCAACGGTACAGGTGACTGTAAAGAACCAATGACAATTGTGAACAAGTATGAGATGGTCTGTATTTAAGTTCTTTTAATGACAATACAAACGACTGAAAAGAACCTGAACACGATGATGATGGTGATAATCATAAAGATTACTGTATTGATAACGACTGTGATGATGATAAATTACGACAACTACAATGTCATTTTTACTAATTTTATACTATTCAGTTCTAAGTTTCAAACCGAGTCGCTGTCCCGTTTTTGTTCTAGATATGAACATAACTTCAGGACAAAGTAAAAACGGTCTACCTTAGTCATTGACATTCACCGAGCAGTTTCGGACTATTTGAGGCGATAAGTGTACCAAGTTTCAAAGGGATAGACCTTGACGTTTTTACATGTATAACCTTTTGTGTGTAATTAAATTACTAAAGGTCCAAAACATTCAAAAGCATGCGGAAACAATCCTTTGATAATTAACTTTGCAGAAAATAAAACAAAACAAAACACACAATTTGTAAATAGTTCTTGTTGTGTATCATAATGTAATTGATAAGACGAAAAGTTGAGATCAGAGTAATATGTTGTGATTTGATAATTATGCTCAATATTGTTTGGTAATCTGTATATTGGAAAATCGCTTCGACTGATATTTTGCTCAGTGGGGAGGAAGGACGGTGGCGGAGGAGAGGGGGGGGGGAATGACAACTTATTATTACATTTTTATTTGTTCCCGCATATGGGAAAATCGCGTCGACCAATATTTCGCTTGGTTGGGGGGGGGAGGGGTTAAAGGAGCTTTAATTCTTTTGTTTATGCAGCACAACCCCTCCCCAACCCTTGAGCAAAAAAAAAAAAAAAGTGAGGTGGGTTTAACCCCCCCCCCCCCCCCTCCCCCCCCCCCCAACCATGTGTTCGCGACTGATGTAGAGTCCCAGACTCAGTGTTATTGGAGACTTACAGTTTTCGACATTCTTTTATTGATTGACACTGTAGCTTGATTCACACTTTTGTTATTTTTTAAGATAGAATGATTCTTAGAGCAAAGTTTGTTCGTCAGTTCCTCGCTTTGAATCAACTAATAAAGGTCAATGAACTAAAATTAACATTGTGACTTTTCATCGGGGATCGAATGGAATGGAAATGCGAAGCTTGAGTTGAAAGGTAGGAGGTTTGAAGAAATCTTACCTCCGTCACAGGTTAAATTAGCTGGACAGGTGCATGTACCCGACTCACAAGTCTCTTCGTATCGGCAGCCCGCGTTATCGGTACAGTTGACTGTAAAGAACCAATGGCAATTGTGAACAAGTATGAGATGGTCTGTATTTAAGTTCTTTTATTGACAATAAAAACGACTAAAAAGAACCTGAATACGATGATGATGGTGATAATCCTAAAGATAACTGTATTGATAACGACTGTGATGATGATGAATTACGACAACTACAATGTCATTTTTACTAATTTTATATATTCAGTTCTAAGTTTCAAACCGAGTCGCTGTCCCGTTTTTGTTCTAGATATGAACATAACTTCAGGACAAAGTAAAAATGGTCTACTATCGTCATTGACATTCATTGAGCAGTTTCGGACTATTTGAGGCGATAAGTGTACCAAGTTTCAAAGGGATAGACCTTAACGTTTTTACATGTATAACCTTTTGTGTGTAATTAAATTACTAAAGGTCCGAAACATTCAAAAGCATGCGGAAACAATCCTTTGATAATTAACTTTGCAGAAAACAAAACAAAACAAAACACACAATTTGTAAATAGTTCTTGTTGTGTATCATAATGTAATTGATAAGACGAAAAGATGAGATCAGAGTAATATGTTGTGATTTGATAATTATGCTCAATATTGTTTGGTAATCTGTATATTGGAAAATCGCTTCGACTGATATTTTGCTCAGTGGGGAGGAAGGACGGGGGCGGAGGGAGGGGGGGGGGTTGTGACAACTTATTATTACATTTTTGTTTGTTCCCGCATATGGGAAAATCGCGTCGACCAATATTTCGCTTGGTTGGTTGGGGTAGGGGTTAAAGGAGCATTTATTATTTTTCATGCAGCACAACCCCTCCCCAACCCTTGAGCAAAAAAAAAATTAAAAAGTGAGGTGGGTTTAACCCCCCCCCCCCCCCCCCAACCATGTGTTCGCGACTGATGTAGAGCCCCAGACTCAGTGTTATTAGAGACTTACAGTTTTCGACATTCTTCTACTGATTGACACTGTAGCTTGATTCACACTTTTGTTATTTTGGAAGATAGAATGATTCTTAGAGCAAAGTTTGTTCGTCAGTTCCTCGCTTTGAATCAACTAATAAAGGTCAATGAACTAAAATTAACATTGTGACTTTTCATCGGGGATCGAATGGAATGGAAATGCGAAGCCTGAGTTGAAAGGTAGGAGGTTTGAAGAAATCTTACCTCCGTCACAGGTTAAATTAGCTGGACAGGTGCATGTACCCGACTCACAAGTCTCTTCGTATCGGCAGCCCGCGTTATCGGTACAGTTGACTGTAAAGAACCAATGACAATTGTGAACAAGTATGAGATGGTCTGTATTTAAGTTCTTTTATTGACAATAAAAACGACTAAAAAGAACCTGAATACGATGATGATGGTGATAATCCTAAAGATAACTGTATTGATAACGACTGTGATGATGATGAATTACGACGACTACAATGTCATTTTTACTAATTTTATACTATTCAGTTCTAAGTTTCAAACCGAGTCGCTGTCCCGTTTTTGTTCTAGATATGAACATAACTTCAGGACAAAGTAAAAACGGTCTACCTTAGTCATTGACATTCACCGAGCAGTTTCGGACTATTTGAGGCGATAAGTGTACCAAGATTCAAAGGGATAGACCTTGACGTTTTTACATGTATAACCTTTTGTGTGTAATTAAATTACTAAAGGTCCAAAACATTCAAAAGCATGCGGAAACAATCCTTTGATAATTAACTTTGCAGAAAACAAAACAAAACAAAACACACAATTTGTAAATAGTTCTTGTTGTGTATCATAATGTAATTGATAAGACGAAAAGTTGAGATCAGTGTAATATGTTGTGATTTGATAATTATGCTCAATATTGTTTGGTAATCTGTATATTGGAAAATCGCTTCGACTGATATTTTGCTCAGTGGGGAGGAAGGACGGTGGCGGAGGAGAGGGGGGGGGGAATGACAACTTATTATTACATTTTTATTTGTTCCCGCATATGGGAAAATTGCGTCGACCAATATTTCGCTTGGTTGGGGGGGGGGAGGGGTTAAAGGAGCTTTAATTCTTTTGTTTATGCAGCACAACCCCTCCCCAACCCTTGAGCAAAAAAAAAAAAAAGTGAGGTGGGTTTAACCCCCCCCCCCCCCCCCTCCCCCCCAACCATGTGTTCGCGACTGATGTAGAGCCCCAGACTCAGTGTTATTGGAGACTTACAGTTTTCGACATTCTTTTATTGATTGACACTGTAGCTTGATTCACACTTTTGTTATTTTGGAAGATAGAATGTTTTTTGGAGCAAAGTTTGTTCGTCAGTTCCTCGCTTTGAATCTACAATAAAGGCCATTGAATTAAAAATTAACATTGTGACTTTTCATTGGTGAACGAATGGGGATGCGAAGCCTGAGTTGAAAGGTAGGAGGTTTAAAGAAATCTTACCTCCGTCACAGGTTAAATTAGCTGGACAGGTGCACGTACCCGACTCACAAGTCTTTCCGTTCTCGCAACCCGCGTCAACGGTACAGGTGACTGTAAAGAACCAATGACAATTGTGAACAAGTATGAGATGGTCTGTATTTAAGTTCTTTTAATGACAATACAAACGACTGAAAAGAACCTGAACACGATGATGATGGTGATAATCATAAAGATTACTGTATTGATAACGACTGTGATGATGATAAATTACGACAACTACAATGTCATTTTTACTAATTTTATACTATTCAGTTCTAAGTTTCAAACCGAGTCGCTGTCCCGTTTTTGTTCTAGATATGAACATAACTTCAGGACAAAGTAAAAACGGTCTACCTTAGTCATTGACATTCACCGAGCAGTTTCGGACTATTTGAGGCGATAAGTGTACCAAGTTTCAAAGGGATAGACCTTGACGTTTTTACATGTATAACCTTTTGTGTGTAATTAAATTACTAAAGGTCCAAAACATTCAAAAGCATGCGGAAACAATCCTTTGATAATTAACTTTGCAGAAAATAAAACAAAACAAAACACACAATTTGTAAATAGTTCTTGTTGTGTATCATAATGTAATTGATAAGACGAAAAGTTGAGATCAGAGTAATATGTTGTGATTTGATAATTATGCTCAATATTGTTTGGTAATCTGTATATTGGAAAATCGCTTCGACTGATATTTTGCTCAGTGGGGAGGAAGGACGGTGGCGGAGGAGAGGGGGGGGGGGGGAATGACAACTTATTATTACATTTTTATTTGTTCCCGCATATGGGAAAATCGCGTCGACCAATATTTCGCTTGGTTGGGGGGGGGGAGGGGTTAAAGGAGCTTTAATTCTTTTGTTTATGCAGCACAACCCCTCCCCAACCCTTGAGCAAAAAAAAAAAAAAAGTGAGGTGGGTTTAACCCCCCCCCCCCCCTCCCCCCCCCCCCCCCCCAACCATGTGTTCGCGACTGATGTAGAGTCCCAGACTCAGTGTTATTGGAGACTTACAGTTTTCGACATTCTTTTATTGATTGACACTGTAGCTTGATTCACACTTTTGTTATTTTTAAGATAGAATGATTCTTAGAGCAAAGTTTGTTCGTCAGTTCCTCGCTTTGAATCAACTAATAAAGGTCAATGAACTAAAATTAACATTGTGACTTTTCATCGGGGATCGAATGGAATGGAAATGCGAAGCTTGAGTTGAAAGGTAGGAGGTTTGAAGAAATCTTACCTCCGTCACAGGTTAAATTAGCTGGACAGGTGCATGTACCCGACTCACAAGTCTCTTCGTATCGGCAGCCCGCGTTATCGGTACAGTTGACTGTAAAGAACCAATGGCAATTGTGAACAAGTATGAGATGGTCTGTATTTAAGTTCTTTTATTGACAATAAAAACGACTAAAAAGAACCTGAATACGATGATGATGGTGATAATCCTAAAGATAACTGTATTGATAACGACTGTGATGATGATGAATTACGACAACTACAATGTCATTTTTACTAATTTTATATTATTCAGTTCTAAGTTTCAAACCGAGTCGCTGTCCCGTTTTTGTTCTAGATATGAACATAACTTCAGGACAAAGTAAAAATGGTCTACTATCGTCATTGACATTCATTGAGCAGTTTCGGACTATTTGAGGCGATAAGTGTACCAAGTTTCAAAGGGATAGACCTTAACGTTTTTACATGTATAACCTTTTGTGTGTAATTAAATTACTAAAGGTCCGAAACATTCAAAAGCATGCGGAAACAATCCTTTGATAATTAACTTTGCAGAAAACAAAACAAAACAAAACACACAATTTGTAAATAGTTCTTGTTGTGTATCATAATGTAATTGATAAGACGAAAAGATGAGATCAGAGTAATATGTTGTGATTTGATAATTATGCTCAATATTGTTTGGTAATCTGTACAGGCGCGGATCCAGGATTTCTTAGGGGGGGGCCCAAATTTGAAATTATGCGAGCCAAATATTGGTACGTAATGGCGACCAACAGTGACGTCATGCGGGGGCGGGGGGGGGGGGTCGGTGAAGGGGGGGGGCGAGTTACCCCCTCCCAGGCTTTGAAGTTTCATTATATTATTAGAGAAAGAAGACGATTCGTTGTACCGTTCTCGAAAATAATTCTCGTCTGAATTTAGTTTCTTTCCCTCCCGCGCGAAGCGCGGAAAATTTTACGATTTGTTAAATTATTAGAGAAAGAAGACGATTCGTTGTAGAGTTCTCGACTCTTAATCCTTGTCTAAATTCAGTCCCCCCCCCCCCCCCCTCCCCCTCCAGCGCGAAGCGCGGAAGCTTTTACGTTTCATTAAATCATTAGAGAAAGAAAACAATTCGTTGTACAGTTCTCGACTCTTAATCCTTGTCTAAATTCAGTCCCCCTCCCCCTCCTGCGCGAAGCGCGGAAGCTTTGACGTTTTATTCAACTATTAAAGAAAGAAGACGATTCGTTGTACCGTTCTCGACCCTTTGTCCTCGTCTGATTTCAGTTCCCCCCCCCCCTTTCCGCGCGAAGCGCGGAAGCTTTTAAGATTCATTAAATCATTAGAGAAAGAAAACTATTCGTTGTACAGTTTTCGACTCTTAATCCTTGTCTAAAATCAGTCCCCCCCCCCCTCCCCCTCCTGCGCCTAGCGCGGAAGCTTCTACGTTGCATTAAATCATTAGAGAAAGAAGACAATTCGTTGTACCGTTCTGGACTCTTAATCCTCGTCTGAATTCAGTCCCCCCCCCCCTCCCGCGCGAAGGGCAGAGGCTCTTACGTTTCAATAAATCATTAGAGGAAGAAAACGATTCGTTGTACAGTTCTCGACTCTTAATCCTTGTCTAAAATTAGTCCCCGTCCCCCTCCCCCTCCTGCGCGAAGCGCGGAAGCTTCTACGTTTTATTAAATCATTAGAGAAAAATGAAGATTCGTTGTACAGTTATTGACTCTTAATCCTCGTCTGAATTCAGGTCCCCCCCCCCCCCTCTCGCGCAAAGCGCGGAAGCTTTTAATCTTCATTTAATCGTTAGAGAAGAAGACGATTCATTGTACCGTTCTCGAAAATAAACCTCATCGGAATTTAGTTTCACCTCCATCCCGCGCGAAGCGCAGTAGCTATTACGTTTCATTAAATCATTAAAGATTCGTATTACCGTTCTCGCCTCTGAATCTTCGTCTGAATTCAGCCCCCCCCCCCCCCCTCCCCTCCTGCGCGAGGCTTTGACGTTTTATTATTAGAGAAAGAAAACGATGCGTTGTACCGTTCTCTATACTCTTAATCCTTGTCTGAATTTCAAAATGTTCTTTGTCTGCTCCTTTTTCTTCCTACGTCCTCTTTCGATTGGAGGGGGGACCGCCCCCCCCCCCCTATGGCTACGCGCCTGTGGTCAGATAAACACATCTTGATACCTTGTCCGACCCCGCAAGCTCAGGGGTTTAAGGCAATAAATTACGATCAGATAAGCATTCAGGGGCCCGCCTTAGGGCCCCTGGTGGGGTCGAGACGGCGGAGCCGGCCCCGGAAGCTCAGGGGTTTTAAGCGTTTAATAAAGGTCAGATGAGCATATTTTGATGCCTCATTATTTTGTTAACACTGGCAGTTAACTATTCTCACTTTCTTGCTCTCATTCTATTTTATTTCTCTTTAATATACTTTGTCAAGAAAAGTGGGGGAGGGGGGGGGGGACTCGAGGTTCTCGATCCCCGCCGTACCTCGGGCCCTGACATGTACGAATCTCAAGAATCATATTTTTTGCCTGGTTGTAAATTTAGGAATTTGTCATTTTTCAACAAACACATACAAACGTATAATTTACTAAAAAGTGAGGAAAAATTTCGGAAATTATGTCATTTCAGCATTATTTGTAATCCACCGTTGTGGAATTAGAAATAAACCACGTTTGAATTTGATTTCCCCCAAGCCCCCCCCCCCCCCCCCCCCTCTATCAGTACGCCAGTATCTCCTCTTTTCCTTTTTTCTTTCCCCTTCCTTCCTTCTCTCTTATTTTTTTTTTGATGGGGCGGGGGGGGGGGACAGCCTGGGAGGCAAGGCCCTTTCGCCCCCTGATCTCCTTCTTCCCCCTTTTCTTTTCTTCTTCCTCTTCTTTCTTTCCCTTTCCCTTCTTTTCCTTTCTTTCTTTTTTTTTTTTTTTTTTGCGGGGGGGGGGGGGGGGCCAAGGCCCGCTCGGCCCCCCCCCCCTGGATCCGCGCCTGATCTGTATATTGGAAAATCGCTTCGACTGATATTTTGCTCAGTGGGGAGGAAGGACGGGGGCGGAGGGAGGGGGGGGGGTTGTGACAACTTATTATTACATTTTTGTTTGTTCCCGCATATGGGAAAATCGCGTCGACCAATATTTCGCTTGGTTGGTTGGGGTAGGGGTTAAAGGAGCATTTATTATTTTTCATGCAGCACAACCCCTCCCCAACCCTTGAGCAAAAAAAAATTAAAAAAGTGAGGTGGGTTTAACCCCCCCCCCCCCCCCCCCCCCCCCCCCCACCATGTGTTCGCGACTGATGTAGAGCCCCAGACTCAGTGTTATTAGAGACTTACAGTTTTCGACATTCTTCTACTGATTGACACTGTAGCTTGATTCACACTTTTGTTATTTTGGAAGATAGAATGATTCTTAGAGCAAAGTTTGTTCGTCAGTTCCTCGCTTTGAATCAACTAATAAAGGTCAATGAACTAAAATTAACATTGTGACTTTTCATCGGGGATCGAATGGAATGGAAATGCGAAGCCTGAGTTGAAAGGTAGGAGGTTTGAAGAAATCTTACCTCCGTCACAGGTTAAATTAGCTGGACAGGTGCATGTACCCGACTCACAAGTCTCTTCGTATCGGCAGCCCGCGTTATCGGTACAGTTGACTGTAAAGAACCAATGACAATTGTGAACAAGTATGAGATGGTCTGTATTTAAGTTCTTTTATTGACAATAAAAACGACTAAAAAGAACCTGAATACGATGATGATGGTGATAATCCTAAAGATAACTGTATTGATAACGACTGTGATGATGATGAATTACGACGACTACAATGTCATTTTTACTAATTTTATACTATTCAGTTCTAAGTTTCAAACCGAGTCGCTGTCCCGTTTTTTTCTAGATATGAACATAACTTCAGGACAAAGTAAAAATGGTCTACTATCGTCATTGACATTCATTGAGCAGTTTCGGACTATTGGAGGCGATAAGTGTACCAAGATTCAAAGGGATAGACCGTGCCGTTTTTACATGTATAACCTTTTGTGTGTAATTGAATTACTTAAAGTCAAAAATATTCAAAAGCATTTGGAAAACATCCTTTAATAATTACTTTTACAGAAATAATGACGGTTTTGACAATGTGAAAGCCTTTGATACTGTAAATCATAACATACTGTTAAAGAAATTGGAAGTGATGGGTTTGGATTCGGCATGTGTTAAATGGTTTAGATCATATTTAACTAATCGTCATCAAGTGGTAACTATGCAGAAGGTAATATCTGATTCCCAGCCTATTAAATGCGGGGTTCCACAAGGGAGCATTTTAGGCCCCATTCTCTTATGTGTTATATTAATGATATGTGTACTTGTGTTAATGATTCTAAATTACTTTTATATGATGACGATAGTGTGTTACTATATTCAGATACAAATCCTAAGTCAATTGAAGAAAAACTAAGTGCAGAATTGGCAAAATGCATCGAATGGATGACAGACAACAAGCTTAGTTTACATGTTGGAAAAACAGAAAGTATTTTATTTTGTTCGAAGGGAAAGTTTAAATATACACGTGACTTCAAGGTTACCTATAATAATCAAGTGATTGAGAGTAAAGATTCAGTAAAATATTTAGGAATAAATTTAACTAGTGATCTGTCATGGACAGGTTTGGTAGATTCAATTGCCAAAAAGGCTAATTCTCGCTTAAAATTTTTGTCTAGATACCAAACTTGTATGAACATGAAGTCGAGACGTATTTTGTGTTTTGCTTTGATACAATGTTTATGTGATTATGCTAATGCTGCTTGGTACAGTAGTCTGGGCAAGATGGATAAGAAAAAGTTAAGAATAATTCAGAATAAGATGGTAAGATTTATTAATTGCTTAGGCCCAAGAACACACGTCGGGAAAAATGAACTTGAAGAAGCAGGTATACTCTATGTAGGTCAAATGTCTAAACAACTCGTGTTACACCATGTCCATAAAATATACTACTCAGATGTAGATCATTATATTACTAATAATTTTGCTCGTGTCTCAAATATCCATGGATACGATACAAGAAATAGTCATTTTAATTTTGTTTTACCCAAGCGAAAAGGACAAATTGGAAACTCTTTTTATTTTAATGGTATCCAATTTTGGAATTCTCTCCCAAAACATGTCAAAATAGTTAAGAATTTTTCACACTTTAAAAGTGTATTAAAACAATACCTAGAGCATGAATCCCTTCAGGAACAGTAATATCAGTTATCTTAAATCACAGTTCATTATGTGTAGCGCATGTTTTTAAGTTTAATCTTGCATAATATACCGTAGATCATTGTTTGCTATAAGTTCTAGAAAGTTTTGTTGTTGTTTATGTTATATTATTTATTCGTAATATTCGTAGTAGTTATTAGTTGTGATATTTTATTCTCATGCCGTACTGTACACGTACTTTATAGGACCCCGTTGGAAATAAGCCTTTTCCGGCTTTCATGGGTTATCCTGTCAATGTATCTTCTCGTTTCGTTTTGCTTTATGTATCCATTCATTGTACTATACTTGACGAATAAAATCAATCAATCAATCAATTGAAGCAAAATAAGGCGTATGATGGGCTCTAAACAAGACGCGTGTGACCACTTATTTTTTATTTTTTTGTTTACCTCCGCAAATGGGAAAAATCGCTCAGATATTTTCACTTTGTAAACAGTTCTTGTTGTGTATCATAATGTTATTGATAATAGGAAAAGATTACATCAGAGTAATAAGTTGTGATTTATAATTATGATCAATATTATTTGGTATTCTTTACTAATTGTACATTAAAAACAATGAAATGCATATGTGACTTGAAATGATTTAAGCATCTACTTTATAGGGCCTGATATCTCAGTGCTTCTATTCAGCGTGGTGCATTGCTAGAATTTCAACGTCCTTGTTCTTTGATCCTGATATATCTTTTAGTTGTTTGATCTTTTTATGATCTATAAATTACATACCTAATGGTTAAGGATTGTCTTTGCGGGATATGCCAAAAGTCTGTTCAGGTAAATCAAAAAGGTCTATTATGCACACAGTGTAGAAAATGGGTGCATAAATCATGCGCTCATGTGTCTGACGCATTATAATCCCTCTGAAGTATTCATAGCGTGGATCTGCACATTCTGGCCCGATTCACAAAGGAAGTTTGACGACAAACCGAGGTTTATGTACGTCATAATGACGCGTTTTGACGCATTTTTTACAAACCTAGTTTGTAAAAACGCGTCGAAACGCGTCATATGACGCACGAAAACCAAGGTTTGTCGACAAACCTCCTTTGTGAATTCGGGCCGTTGTGTTTTGAAACAGTTACCCTTTTATCACAATCATCCATCATAATTGGAGAGAAGTAAACGACCGTAGAAACGGGATAGGCATTTTAATAAAAACAAGTAATCAGTCCTGTTGAATATACTCTAAATTATGTGATAAAGGTGTCAAATTTGTTCATTTGAACATCGTTAGCTTATTGAAGCATTTTGATGAAATTGGGTCTATATTATGCAATAATGATATTCACGTTTTAGCTCTAAATGAGACCGGCTTGATAATTCATTTGCAGATAGTGAAATAAGTATACCTCATTTCAATGTAATTAGAAATGATAGAGACAGAATAGGTGGAGGAGTTGTCATATACATAAATGACAATGTTACATTTGAAAAGTTAATAGTGCCTAGTTCAGTAGATCAACTTGAAGTTATTTGCATTCAGATTCGTTTAAAGCATACTTACAAAGCCTTTTATTTTTATAAATTGGTATCGACCGCCAAGTAAAACACATCTACTGGAGTCCTATGAAGAATTGTTGTTATATTTAGGAGGATTTTATACTCTTTTTTGATGAATGCTTCGAGTAATTATTATGTAAACGTACATTGTACATTGTAAAGCGCTTTGAGAGTGCCTTCGGTCCTGAAATGCGCTATAAAAGAACGAACTATTATTATTATTATTATTATATATTAATAATATTAATCGGCGATGTTAATTATAACATTGCCAAGCTCCCACTTACTTGCGATACTCGTAAATATTCACAAATTGATATATATGGTTTGTGTCAAATTAATAAATCTGTTTACACTCGAGTAACGCCTGAGTGCTCATCATTAATTGATCACATGTTAACAACTTGCCCAGACAAAGTAAGCTCTTTTGGTGTCTTACACAATGGTTTGAGTGATCATTATATGATTTACTTAGTCTGGAAAGCTCAGGTCAATCATGATGATTCTTTTGTAAATTATGTAATATTTAGACAATCTCATCAGGTAGACTTTGAAAAGTTGAATGCCGATCTTAGATCGCAGAAATGGAATGAGGTAAAAGAAGGTATTGACCTCAATAACGCTGTAAACAAATGGGAAGTAGTCTTTTTAGACACAATAGACAAATACATGCCGTTGAAGAAGAAAAGGGTACGCAAAAAACACTCCCCTAGGTTGAATGAATGTATATTTAAGCTCATGAAAGATCATGATAAAATGAAAGGTAAAGCAAAGACGAAAAAACAAAACGTTTACTGGAAACAATACAAACACTTGAGAAATAAAGTAATGTTTGAAATAAGGAGAGTAAAGAAAAAATATTTCGTTGAAAAACTAGATGCTTGTACGGATAGAGCGAAATATTGGAGAGTATTAAAAACACTAATACCCAATACGAAATCAGCTACGAATTTTCCCTTTCCTATCGATGAATGTAAAAGAGTAGCAAATGATTTAACGAACATTTTGTCGATGTTGGAAAACAATTCGATAGCAGTAAGGGTAATAAATGTATCGGTTACGAAGAGTTTGAAAGTACAGAAGCCATTGTGAGCAAAGAAAATATCTTTTCTGTTCCTGTGATTACACAGTCAGATGTTCTGAAAGAAATCTATCGATTAAAGAAAAAGATATCAGTTGGGGTTGATGAAATAGATTCTTACATGCTGAAAGCCTGTGCACTGGAAATTGTGAAACCTCTCACATATTTAATTAATAGGTCATTGTCTGAAGGTAGAGTCCCTTCCAGATGGAAGGTGGCTAAGGTCATCCCCCTACATGAAAAGGGTAATAAAGCTTTAGCTAATAATTACAGACCGATATCTTTATTAACGTGTTTGTCCAAAATTTTAGAAAACATTGAACAAAAACACTCAATTCGATTTTTGGAAAAAACAACATTTTAACCAAAGATCAATCGGGATTCAGGCCGAATGGCTTCAATTAGTTGAGAAGGGTTTATAATTATACAGGAGCCCTTTATGTCGATCTGCGAAAAGCATTCGATTTGGTCGATCACAGAACTCTCTTGAGAAAATTGTCTGATTTTGGTATAAAAGGTATAATGCATAAGTGGTTTTATTAATATTTGGTTAACCGTCAAATGTTTACTTCGATTAAAATGTTTCTTCCAATGAATTGATATTAACGTATGGTGTCCCTCAAGGCTCCATACTTGGCCCAATTTTATTTCTAATATACAACAATGATTTAGCTAATGCTTTTCATTATTGCCATCAATCGGGATTCAGGCCGAATGGCTTCAATTAGTTGAGAAGGGTTTATAATTATACAGGAGCCCTTTATGTCGATCTGCGAAAAGCATTCGATTTGGTCGATCACAGAACTCTCTTGAGAAAATTGTCTGATTTTGGTATAAAAGGTATAATGCATAAGTGGTTTTATTAATATTTGGTTAACCGTCAAATGTTTACTTCGATTAAAATGTTTCTTCCAATGAATTGATATTAACGTATGGTGTCCCTCAAGGCTCCATACTTGGCCCAATTTTATTTCTAATATACAACAATGATTTAGCTAATGCTTTTCATTATTGCCATCTACATTTATATGCAGATGACACAGTTATTTATTTCTCAAATGTAAACCCTATTGTTGTACAGTCTGTTCTTAATAATGAATTAATTTCTCTATCTGATTGGATGTGCCATAACAAACTTTATATAAATTGTGAAAAAACAGTATCTATGTTAATGGGAACGAAGTCAATGCTTCATAAACATCAAACATTAAACTTAAAACTAGGTGGTAATGTTATTAATCAGGTTCAGAACATGAAATACCTAAGAATGAATATAGACTCTGAATTAAAATGGGACTTATATTTATGTGAAGTAATTAGCAAAGTAGTAGACAAAGATTTTTTGGTTTTGTTTTGTGCCTCTAATGAGGTGTTTATTTACATTCAAACATCAAAATAAAGTTGTGAGAACAAAATAATACAATTGACGCATAATGTTATCAATAGAGATCACATATTTTTTTATCAACTATACAATATTTTGCTACTTTTCATCTAAAGTGCTTGTAACAGTTTCTTTGACAAACTCTGATCTGGCTTTTTAAGCTCCTGATTTACAACAATTCTGTTTTTGATTTCTCTTTCAAATACGTATCTTAGTTTGAAACGGTTTTCATTAAATCCATACTTATTCCGGGTGACTAACATTTTGTATATACACCAGAATGCGATCGTTGTTACAACGTCTATCTCTCTGTCAATATTAATCTTAAGTAAACAGGAGATATCCATGACAAAATCAATATTAAAAGTGTACTTCACAACATGTTTGATATAATCAAAGAAATTCTTATTCTGTTCACAGTCGATAAACACATGCACTATGTCCTCTATGACATGACACTTGGGACAGTATCTGTCGTCTGCTAATCCCCATTTGTAAAGATTATTTCTAACAGGTAGTATGTTGTACAGCAATTTAAAATTGGACTCCCTTAAGCGATGTTCCCTTGTATATGTTTAATTCCTTTTGAACACGAAGACCAGTCAACAGTTCTTTGTAGTATATTTTCCCAAAAAAGACAGCACCTGTTGTTGTTGAATATATGTTTAAAAGATATCAGGTTGTAGAAACGTTTGCTGCTTACGTCACTGATAGGTAAGGACACTCTTCCAAATTTAAAATAAGAAATTCCAAGAGGGTGAATATAATATACTGGTTCAGTTTCTTCCTTGGTAAGATCACTGAACCATATATTTGGGATAGCTTTCTTCAATTTATCAATTTAGTATAATCGAATAAACAAAGATGGTAAACTTTTTGGGAAGGCTGAGACACATTTTAAATGAATCTTTCCTCTAATTTATCAATCAATTTATCAATTAATAGTCATTCCTCATTTTGATTATGGTGACATTATATGGCAAGCCTTCCAAAAAAACTATCCGGACCAACTTCAAAAACTTCAAAATAGGGCTGGTAGGATAATCATTAAGATAAACCCACATAATCATACTTAAACATTTCAGATTCACGATCTCTTAAAATGGGAATCCCTAAAAACCAGATGTAAAAAGCACATGTTCATAATGCTGTATAAGATTTTCCACAATTTAAGTTCAGATTACGCCTACTTTTCATGCAACAACGTCCAGCCCGTAATACACAAAAATCCGGCTAGTATTGATTTTACACACAGGAGGGATAGGGGGTGCTTTCAAAGGAAGGGAACATACATCCGCGTACCCTAAATAACACTGAGTGGGGCCGAACTTGTAATGCAAAATTATTTAGTTACAGGAAATGAAAAACGAACCTACTTGAAAGCAATGCTTTTTAGGTGTAGATTAAGGTTTCATGTTAAGTTTCATGTTCGGTTAAGTTCCATGTTTTTCCTTCATACCCTCTCTCTCTCTCTCTCTCTCTCCTTTTCATTTCTCTTTCTATCTTCTTTTTCTTTTTCTTCTTTTCTCCCTTTTCTTTCTCGTTGTTTTCTTTTCGTTTTTTCCCTTTTTTGAGGCCGCCACAAAACTGGGGAAGGACCGCAGCTGATTCGCCTTTCCCCGGTCCGCCAGCATTGATTTATGCATACATTTATATATCCAATCCAAAACTTTGCCGACCTGTTACTCTTGGTAGCGATACAATTCATGTTTGCCCTTCTTCTTCTCATTTCCTTCTTTTCTCTTTCTTACTCCTTTGTTCTTCTGTCGCTCTTCCCTTTTTTAGGCCGCCAAACGCTGTGGATTGATTGATGACGCTCTTTATAGTTGTAATAACATTGTATACACTACAAAGAGACCAAGAAATCAAAGTATTCTTACCTGCTGCACTGGTCCCTTCGAATCCTGCTGACCAAGGTTGATAATCAAGGGAAGAATCCCCAAAATAGAAAAAGAAAGAAATAAGTGTTGGTGTGGTCAATGAATATGAATGTAAATTGCCACATTAGATCTCTTATCTCTCTTGTTACGTATTACTCCCCGACCCCCAAAAAACAACAAGTGTCTTGAAGGTCAAAGCAAGTGAATAATGATTGTTAAAGTGACTCAGTAACATTGTTAAAGGTTGATTAACAAATTTGCGTAATTTTTGTATGAAATGTTACTTATTATCTTCCTTCTACTGCACTGACCCTCTAGCATGCGAAAAGTCCTGAAAAATTCTTAAACCACGAAGATATTAGTGGTTTTCTAGGAAGGCGTCACTGTGCAACACCCTCTTACAGTGATTTACAGTAAATTCTTCCAACCGTTTTCCATGAAAATACGACACAAGCAAAACAAATCTTTCAACACTTAAATGTATGAAATGGTTTAATCATAGAGCCGATTCATTGCTTTGTGACGATTTACATACACCTAAAATGTAATTAAATTGTAGTTCCATAGTTGGGAGAATTAGGGTTTTGATCAGATTAGTTTTTCCCGATTTTAATCGTTAATAATGGTCTGTTTTCACTCAAGCTTTCAGATTATCTTTAATTGTACATCTAGCATTGAAGTCACTGCCTTAGCACCATTTTCGCTCATCTTTACAATGTTACCAAGTTCCTTTAAGTTACTAAAGTTCAATTATTCCTTACTAAGACCTTTGTAAAATTCCATCATTATCAGATATGTATTTTTTTTAGATGTCTTTATTGTTGTGTTGGGATCGGTGTATTGAGTTATTGGAAAATTGAGAGGTACATAAAATAAAGAGATGCTGAGACTTTCTTTGAAGTGTAATATGCAAGAGTATATTTTATTATAACTCTAAAAACGATGAGTCACATAGTCCGGATTCACAAGTATATTTACAAGATATAGAGCAAAGTATAGGTACTAGCTTGGTGATGGTCTGAACTCTTCTCCTCCCAGAAAGCCAGAACATCTCATATTTATCCAGACGGATACAAGTAATATGAGGGTAGGTCACATTGTGTCAAAGGGACAAAGACAAGTTCATTCTTAGTCATTTAGCTAACACATGTAATCTGTTCTGGGAAAGGGTCTTATCAAACAAAGGGGGCTTTGGTTATTGGGAGAAAGACAGGAAGTCTTTTGTTTTGGAGGTTTGGGGGCTCTTTAAAGATGTATACAATTTGGGTTTTTTTTGGCTGGAATAAGTTACTAAAAAAATGTCTTAGAAGGAGGTCTGGTATTTCGCAGGGTGGGTCTTATCTGTATTGGGACATACTGAGTGATATTACATATTATTACTGAGGGGGTGTAGATTTGTAATACCTGTACATAACATCCCCTTTCTTTGGAAAATAAGGCTCTTCTCCCTCTTTTCAAAACCAGTAGAGGAAGAAAAAGGGGGACATCTTAAAATTATACACATATTAACTAATTAATGAAAGGTGAAAACTGATAAGCGAAACATGTGATCATTGCTCCATCCTCTCTTACTCTCCCTCTCTCTCAAACACATAAATGTACAACATAGTAAATATTTGATATCGAAACCTATTCATATTATGGCTATCATAACAAAGGTAAAATAGCTTCATGTACATACTAATAATCCTAAACGATTAAACAAGCATAGCATATAGCAAAACTTATTTGTGATTCAATACCGAATCCATCCTTACATGCTAGTACAGACTAATCACAATAAGCAACTGTAACATTATACAATTGTGCAGACTTATGCACATAAAAACAACTTCCAACTTTTAAGTTATAAATTGTGCAGACTTATGCACATGAACATAAACAATCAAGTTAAATAACCATTATAAAGTTATTAAAGCCAAAATGTTTTCAAAATGTAAACGTGTGTCACTTATCACATGACTCAATCCCTAAAGGAATATACGAGTCTAATCAAACAATAAATCGTCAAATATGTACACTGTGGTATAGAAATATACGAACAATTCTGTCGATGCAAATCTAACATCTTAACAACATGATTATAAATGAGAAAGCAAACGGGTGCACTCTAGGCATTGAAAGTAATTCTGTGTTTAAACAGACAATATAATGTACTTCGTATGAAGCATGAACACAAAATTCAAGTGACTAACATTCCTAACCCATTACAGAGTTCTTTCCATAATCATAAAACAACTTAAAGAATAATAAATGATGAACAAATAATTTCAAACTTGTTGAATATCATATAACAAGTGTACATTCAATCCTTGTTAAACCATCAAAATGATGAGCTATAATACGTTATATAACTTCTCTCTTGAACGAGCTAGTGCGTTCAACTTGTGTAAAATTCAACAAGAATTTAACATTCAATAACAATTGTCATACTAATCTTTACTACAAAGTGCCTGTAGACTTATAAAGGGAAACTTTGATTCAAATTTACAGTGATTCGTACAAACTATGATGCTTCTAGACTTATAAAAGCATACGAAACAATATATATTTTCGAGGGCATACACAATTGATATAGAGGTAACTGTCTACAAAATAAGACTTAAAAAATCTTCCTGGGCTGCCTGTAATCTGTATTCTTCTGTTTGTTAGTATGTCATTAATTAAGTTTTCTGTGCCTTTATACAAATTGACATTCCACCAAAAACGCACTTGCTTGGTGGTGTTACTACCAGTGTCAAATGATGTCAATATTTGTAGATTCCCAGCTTTGAAACGGCCTCTATGAAGGGTCATGTTCTGGTCATTGGGGGCAGTCAATAAGTAGGTCAATTTGTCTTTCTAGGTCTGTTTGTGTTAAGGGTCTGCAGGCGCGGATCAAGGATTTTCCAATAGGGGGGGGGGGGGCCGGAAATTCAAAAGTTGCGCAGACCGTTTTTTCAACTCACCATTCCGGTACAATTTTTCACACACCTAAAAAAATGTAATTTTCTGGCTTCAAAATGCGGCTAGTGAGCGAAGTGAGCGAGCAATTTGTATAAGTGTTAGTTATTACCAAAATAAACTAGAAAAGATATCAAAAAATCTTATTCGGGCAGCTCGCTGTCCCTCTCCCCCCCCCCCCCCCATTACGCGCGAAGCGCAGAAGCTTTGATGTTTCATGAAATTATTAAAGAAAGAAGAGGATTCGTTGTACCATTCTCGACACTTAATCCTTGTCTGAATTCAGTTCCTCTCCCCTTCCGCGCGAAGCGAGGAAGCTTTGACCTTCATTAATTATTAGAGAAAGAAGACGATTTGTTGTACCATTCTCGACTCGTATTCCTTGTCTGAATTCAGCTTCCCTCTCCCGCGCGTAGCGCGGAAGCTTTTACCTTTCATAGTTTGATGAAATTATTAGAGAAAGAAGATGATTCGTTGTTCCATTCCGGACTCTTAATCCTTCTTTGAATTCAGTTCCCCCCCCCCCCCTCCCGCGCGAAGCGCGGAAGCTTTGACCTTAATAAATTATTAGAGAAAAAAGACGATTTGTTGTACCATTCTCGACTCGTATTCCTTGTCTGAATTCAGTTTCCCTCTCCCGCGCGTAGCGCGGAAGCTTTGCCTTTCTATAGTTTGATGAAATTATTAGAGAAAGAAGATGATCGTTGTTCCATGCTGGACTCTTAATCCTTCTTTGAATTCAGTTCACCCCCCCCCCCCCTCTCGCGCGAAGCGCGGAAGCTTTGACCTTTCATAGTTTAATGAAATTATTAGAGAAAGAAGATGATTCGTTGCTTCATTCTGGACTCTTAATCCTTCTCTGAATTTAATCCCCCCCCCTCCCGCGCAAAGCGCGGAAGCTTTAGCCTTTCATAGTTTAATGAAATTATTAGAGAAAGAAGATGATTCGTTGTTCCATTCTCGACTCTTAATCCTTGTCTGAATTCAGTGTTTCCCTCACCGAGCGAAGCGCGGAACGCGGCTTTGAAATTTCATTCAATTATGAGAGAAAGAAGACGATTCGTTGTACCGTTCTCTACTTGTCAGAATTTTCAAAAATGTTTCTTAGTCTGCTCCTTTTTCGCGTCCTCTTACTGCCCCTACCGCCCCTGGTTATGCGCCTGCTTTACAGGGAAAATGAAACAATCATGGTTGTGATCGCACACAATTTGGTTAGTAGAAATAAAAGAAAAATAAAAGATCTATTAAACCAACCATGGATAAATCATGGTCGGGAAAATTAATATCATAGTTTTGTGTTATCGGGTGAGGTGCTATGTTGAATGCTGAAATTTTGTATAGGTTAGAAAATCCCTAAGCCTAATATGTACGTTCTTTCCGCTATATTTCTTTCTAGCTATATTTAAGAATTTTCTGGGGGACGTGGCCCCCTATCAGGCCCTGTCCATGATTACTACCAACATGAGTTCAAATACAAGCACAAGCGAGTTGGTATGAGCTGAATCCAAATAAGGGGCAAAATAATAATAAATTTTAAATTTTACTGTTGAGTATATAGCTTTTATTTAAAACATTCAAATTAATGTGCCCTTTTCAAATTTCTCACTAAAGAGTGATGACATTTGTAGCGCAGGGGCTGTTTTTAAAGTTTAACTTTGAATCCGCGGCTCGAGATTTTATGCGGCCAGCCTGGCCCCCTCTATTCAATAACGTTTGCCAAGCCTTCTGGAATGACCCCAAATCTTCCGATTACAGTTTTTCCTTATTCGTCGTTACTGTCATTTAGAGCCTTTCCTTGTCCTACCCCTTTCTCACCGACTTTTCTCTCTCCCCCCCCCCCCCCACTCAGTGTTATCTAGGGTACGCGCATGAATGTTCCCTCTCCTTGAAAGCACCCCTCTATCTCCGGTGTGTAAAGTCAGTACGGGCCGGATTTTTGTGTATTACGGGCCGGACTTTTTTGCGTGAAAAGTAACCCTTTATCAGGGATTTTGGGAACACAAAATCGGTCCCTCCGAGGGATGGAAGGGGGGGGGTTCTTTTTTTTCTTTTCCCTTTTTTAAAATCTCTCTCTTTGTTTC